GAAAAATTACATAATGAGAAAAACACAGCACAGACATTAAATAAACGAGCATGAAAGCCAAAGGGTTGGGCTAAAAAGCAATATAGCTCCCCCTGCAACACCAATACAGCTCACACAGGGCATCGGAATTCCAACACAGGGCGCCAGAATTACAAATTAATAGAATTTGAAGCGCTGCCGGAATTAGTCTCACAATATGCCAAATTTAGTCCCGCACAGCGTCGGAATTCAGGGATTTTGTAGGTTTGAATTCTAAAGGCTTTTAAATAAATATAGCAACAGTTTGTGACGTTTCATTGTTGCTGGTGCATAGTGTGGTGTTTTGAGAGTGGCGTAAAGCAATCCGAACTCGAGTTGCGCATACGGTGATATTTTTATAGCCATTCATTTCTTGCTATGTCCTTGAAGTGTCAGAATATATCACGTTTACCCTACCAGAAACCTTACTATGTGCATTTGCTGTCTTCCAGATTCACGATAATTTCAATGTAATTTCTAAAATGCAATAATTTCAATCCAAATGTGTCGGCAAGATCTTCTGAAGGCATAAATTTTGCTGCTGATGCATTGCCAATAATCTTTCAATATTCACCCACTGCACCCTGGACTAGCAGAAGTTTACTACAGCCAGGGTGCAGAGGGTGCAAGCAGCATCACAAAGATATAGATTTTCAGCCCAAAGCATTGCCAGCCATTTCCAAGATCCATTGCTGGCTAATTTTCAATAAGAAAGTGCTGCAAGCAACTTTGATAGTATATCCTTAAACCCTTACTCTCCGTGCACTGCAGGATTGGAATTTTCCTAGTTGTTTCTGAAATCTTGCGGCTTCAACATGACAAATTTTCAATACATTTGGAATATCGCGGCTCGATCGTGCACTTTTATTAACAATTGGATAGGAGGTACAATGTAATTCATCTGACAGAAATCTTGCAGTTTTGGAAATGGCGGGAAACTTCTAGTCGCGGCCCTAAAGGCAGATGTTTTCCATGTTTGGTGCACTGTAACACTTAAACGCAACGCAACTGATTTCCAGACAAGCTTCACTGCATACTGATCCATCTGGCATGCGGGAAATCTTACTGTGTGGGCTTGTGGTCTTTCAGATTTTTAATAATTTCAAAGTAATTTCTAAATGCAATAATTTCAATCCAAATGTGCTGGCAAGATCTTCAGAAGGGGCTAATTTTGCTGCTGATGCGTTGCCAAATATCGTGCAATATTCACCCACTTTCTGCACTCTGGTACTGATTAGTATAGGAGAATATAACTACAACCGTTAAATGAGTTATTAAAAACCGACGATGATTAGGAATAGGAATAAAGTATAAATAAGATAAGAATAGGGATTGGGGTTTAGAAGCGAAGTTTGAATTAAGGGGTGTGGAGCTCGAGCCGTCTAGCGCGCATGCGCGAGACTGGGGGAGTATTTAGTAGGGGTGAGCGGGCCACCGCGAGCAGTTCCGTTGCGGTGTTAGAGGCAGCCGGACCAAACAGTGAGTTATGCACCAAGACGTATTGTGGGAAGAGCTCCGCGCGTGAGATAAAAAGTGTCCGTTCAGAAAGCATTAGATTACTCGCACACCGTTTACCAACAACCAAAGTCAACAAAGGCCTCAATGATTTTTTAAGAAGTTCTCGTATACTACTCGACGAAGTCCTACCTAGTTCATTCCTGAAGTCAACGTCTTCGGATTGGCTACTAAGAAAGCACTAGATTACTCGCACACCGTTTACCGACAACCGAAGTCAACAAAGGCCTCAATGATTTTTAAGAAGTTCTCGTATTCTACTCGACAAAGTCCTACCTAGTTCATTCCTGAAGTCAACGTCTACGGATTGGCTACACAGAAAGCACTAGATTACTCGCACACCGTTTACCAACAACCGAAGCCACGAAGCCAACCGAAGTCAACGAAGGCCTCAATGATTTTGAAGAAGTTCTTGTATTCTACTCAACCAAGTCCTGCCTAGCCCCGGATCCGTCATGGATTGGCCGCTTCTACAGATTCCGGTGATGTACATCTGTGTAACTTTGGGATACTAGCAGGTTATAGTTCTGGGTCTGTAGTAGTATTACCAAATTTCTGTTGTCCCATGAACAGCTGTTATAGAATAGGATCTCTGTCGACAAGCAAACCTGTATTCTCACCGTGCCCAGCTCTGTATTAGGGTGAAATTTGGTGTCTTTAAGTATATAAGAGTTGACATGCTTATTTGTATCTTTTCCCTTGTTAAATCGCACTGCCAGTAGTAGAGAACCTTCTACGCGCCTCGTTTGACCACTCGGATAACGTAAAATAAAGTACAACCAACCTGACAGTTTAAAATGTTTTATGCAAAAAGAAACTCTGCCGAGGATAAACTAAAAATTGATAGTTTGCCGTGAGTTTTAAAGCGGACAGTTCAAGAAATAGCGTGAGCTAATATCGAACAACGATTATATGCAAATGGGAATAAAAGGAGGTAGACATCTTCTGTTTGAATCAAATAAATCGATGTTTATAATCAAGACAATAAAACTGTATTTTATAATCAAGTGGTGTCAGGTGTGGGGTTCAAAACTGGCAGTGACGAATTGACAAGTGGAGTAATAATTGTTAAGTTGTTTTTTTTATGCTTTTTTTGTGTGGCATAATTGAATTTTTTTTAGGGTAGAAATTATTTTATATGTTTGATATGATTTTTGTCTATATAATTACTGTGTTGTGGGGAAATTTTCAATTGTGCTCCTTATAGGATGTTATGGGTGTGGTAGAACTCTCATGTTTTCTCTTGCTCGCACGAATAAAGTTAAATGAGAGGAGTGGTGCTGTAAAAAAATTTGCAAATATAAAGTATAAAAAACCAATCCCTTGGGGTTAGATTAAACTAGGCCAGCGCGCAATTAAACATTAGTTACATTCCGGCAGAAATTGACTAAAATATTAGCTTCAATTGGCGCGCGATTCTCGTATTATCCATGCATTCAAGTAGCTATTTGGTTGTGTAGGTAATTTTTGGTGGTACTTCGTATTCGATTATTAGATATATATTTTTTTTGTGTATTTGGCGCGCAATCAATCGTATTCTTGTGGCGCGCAAACAACTCGTATTTATATGGCGCGCAAACCATCGTATTTTTACTATTAAGAAGGGGGGAGAAATTAGATATTTCTTTAGAGTCCGTAGCACAGAACGTTTTGTCGTGGGGATACAAAAGAGGAATTGGTTTTTTTTAGCGCCATCAGACCGCACGTATCATACGACTTTGTTCTTTTCTCGCTAGTCAAGTTAGCAAGTACGTTTTCTTGTGGGCACCGAGGATAATCGGGATTAGATTAATTTAAAAACACTGGGAAAGCGATTGATAAAAAAATGGCCGGGAACGGAGGCGAAGTGGAGGTTTCAGTCGTAGGAAGGCACGAAGTGTTTGACGGTCGTGGTAGCCTCAGCGAGTTCCTGAAACCATTCGAGCAACGCAGTGAACTCGCCGGGTGGGACGCGGATCAAAAGCGTAAGGTGCTTATCACCTTATGCAAGGGGAAGGCGGCTAACTGGTTACGCTGCAAACCAGGGTACGCAAATCTAGGATACGGGGGAGATAAGCGGATCTCAAAACCCGATTTAATAGCGAGAGCTGTTCGAAGGAGGCGTATGCACGACTGCAAGAGCTTCGCCTAGGCAATATGAGCATAAATGAATTTGGCAGCCAGATAGAGGAGATAATCGCAAAATACCAGGACGTGTTACCCGAGTACCCCGATGACAATAGGTGGAATGCCCTCATGGTCGGGACGTTCATCGATGGGCTGCCCAAGCACTACCAACCCATAGTATTGCCATTAAAGAAGGGTGATTATGCCCAAGTGTTGAAGGAGGCGTGCGATTACGAGGCCAGGTGGGTAACGCCACGTAGAACTGTGGGGGCACTAGCTACCGACCGCGAGAACCCCTATCAGGATGACTGGGAGGACCAGTACGGTAGGGATGTCTACAGAACCCCGGAAAAGAACTTCACTCCTCTGGCTAGGAACTCGACAAGTGAAGCGTACTATGCGCCACAGTGTTATAGGTGCGGTAAAATTGGCCATGTGCAGCGCTACTGCGAAGAAAGGAATCCAACAAGCCGGGGAGGATACAGCCGCTACAACGGGGAGCATCAGAACGAAAATTGGCACGCAAATAGCATAGGAAATAGCACTGGTGAAATAAGGCCATTTATCTTATTTTCAAGGCAAACCTGGAAAAAGGGCTGTAGGAACAGGTGAATTTGGTCTTCACTGGAATTTTTATCCTACTTACAGGTGGCTTCTGCCCAGTTTTCCATTTGGGAATGAGCTGGTCAAATTATAATTTATTTAAAATAACATGAAATTATGCATAAGGAAAACATCCATTACAATTGTCTAAAAAACTGGAACTTGTTTACTAATTCTCTTTTTGATTTACTCAAAAAAAACTCAGGTCGGGTCTCAGAAAATTTAATTTACTCTGGATCATTCAGAATTCATTTAACATTTCCACAAAATATTAATTGATTTACTAATATATCTGGTCTGGTTCTCCAAATTTTTTAAGCATATAAGTTTTTAAAGTTTAATATGTAGGTGGAATTCGAGTTTTCTTGACATTTCAGATCATTTCCCACCTGTTGTATCCCTGGTCCTGCAGATCAGTCTGGGTCAATCTGTCTGCTGTCAGTCATTTGCTCCAGGTCTGGTAGACAGGCTTGGGTCTGGGTTTTAGTAAGAATTACCATTATATCAAATTTATTGTAGGTACATAGGTATATGATAACCTGTGATAAGTGTGCTGTTCACTTACTTATTTGCTTATAACTTATTGCGTTGTTTATTTTCAGGTTAAAGTACTGTATAATGCATAATAATGCAGTTTTTTAAAGACTTGAAGAAGTCTGTGAATTCTGCTTCCATTAAATTTTCAAGATGGGGACTTACAAGATATATTATCTTGGTAGAAGTACTTACAAGGATTTTAGTGTATTCTGTTGCAAGGTGAGCCACTTTAGTCTAGTCAAAGGTTTGTCTGTAACACAACTAGCTTGTTAACATCTTGATATTGTTATAGATCTTGCCTATTATTTATTTCATTTGAAAATAATAATCCTTATTCCAAATATTGCTATTTATGTCATAACCATATTTTTATATTCATAGGTATGCTATACATTATGATAGTTAATTTTTAAGCTAGAACTTTTTTTCTAAATAAAAATTAGGTAATTTTGTAGCCATTACCTTCTATACTTCCAATTCTTGGCAATGAAATGATTTTTCCTGCTGCAAACTTATCTTCCTAGTATTATAGTAAATTAATAGTACCGGTATTATGAAAAATTTACTCTTGAATGTTTTTTAATTTTAGGCAACCTAGCTGGCTGTTATAACTATTTCTTTTTGTTTGTCAAGTATGGCTCAATGTTGAATTCATCCAAAGACTGATAATTCATTGCCTTTTATATGCCACAGTAGGTATATTTGTGGTTGACATTGGTTAGAATGTTGCAATCACTATGGGTGATGTATACTGAGTGAAACCATTGAGTGCTCCCTAATAACCAATCTATAGGTATATATATGTAGTCAATTGATTGATTGATTATGATTGAACCTGAAATCACATGTGGCAGCTGCTTAACCCATTAATGACGAGAATTATTTACTGAATTTTTTTGGGGTTCCTTGTGAGAATATTATCATTTGTGATGGCAATAAACAAAAAATATGTTCATATATTTATTTTTCGTTGTATGTGAAAAAATATAGCTTGGTTCCATATGGAACCGCTTGGCATTAACATAACGTTTCTTCAAACAACACTTTTTCCGATAGTAAATCAAGCAAGGTTGTTCATAATGGATAATACGTAATATACGTATTCATAATGGACAATACTGATGATGAACCAATCATGGCAGAATACCATTTAATTTTTAGCATAGAATGCTTCCATTCATTCAAAAGGAATAGGAAGGTTGCCCATTTTACAAATGTTTGTGGGTGCTTTGTCAACATTGTTTACGAAGCACTGCATTTGCAGTGCTTCTGATGTCTCTTTGCTGGCCGATGTTGTTGATTGTTGTATTGCACTTCATCAAGGATCGAAGTAGAAGGGTGCACTATAGACACTGATTATTTTATTTAGGGTCTCCTGCATTATTGCATTTCCTAACCGATCTTTTTGAAAATTTATTGCAATAGACATTCTCTTTTTCAAAAGTTTTTTGAGAAGCCAAATGAAACCAGAATAGATATCACATATAATATGTTGGCTTGGGACCAATAGTATCATGTTTATGGGACCAATCCATGTTCCAGCCCATGAATAAGTTTCTTTTTCTATTAGATCCGCCGATTAGCTTCAATTGCAAAAAAATATCATCTGATTTATCTGCTGCCCAAAGTTTATAACTAAATCTCTCGGGCTAGCCACGTATATGTCGTAGTATAATGTGGCCATGTCGACCACAGTTGACTTTCTTCTCTGTCGATAGTCATTGTTTTCACATTTGGTGATTACTGTTGTGATAATGACTATTCTCGATAGGCGAGCAGAATTGCTGGTGGCTGCGTCATCTGAGTTATCTGAATCTCAATATGTTTCGTTTGTTGCTGTTTCTGTGAAATGTTCAGTAGCAAGTATTTGATCTTCGTGTTATTCTTCTCTCGAAATCTCAATTATTTCATGTGATGATCTGCCAAAAAACAATTAGAAAAAAAGTGACTCGGGATGAACAATCGTATAGTGTTCAACGTACCTACTTCCAAATATTTCAACTTTCGGGATATATATTCCTAACAGCTCTAAAGATAATGGTTCACTAATAAATAACAGAAAAACTTAGATCTAAGATCTAAATAAATAATTTCTAAGTACTAACAAGTTTTTGAAATACAATGCGTAACTATATCACATAGTAATCTACTAGGAAAGTGAGATGACCGGAATGCTTACACTACTGCCGAGCAGTTCCATTTGGAACCAGACAAAATATTTCATGATCTTAAAGACTTTAGAAACATTATATCACGTAATGCCATATACAGGATTAAAAGTACTCTCTTTATCGATAAAATTCTGCATCTAACTTATAAATAATATATTCTTAGAACGAACTACTTACCTTTCTCTGCAATGATGTCAAGCCCTTCTGTCTGACACCCGGTACTTACAATTTTTTAATGTTAACCGAGCAGAGAGTAGTCGGCGCAGCAGAACCAAACGTTGCCAGAACATGGACAAGATGTGTATCAAACCTACGCATCCACTAGTATATTGATTTGACCATACAATTTTATTATGAATCCATTTTTTTCTGCTGGTTCCAAATGGAACCGCTCGGCATTAATGGGTTAAGAGTCAAGATGCTTGATGAAAACCATGCAGCTCACAAATATCTTGACTCTGAAGCCCTTTACAGCCTGGGCCTGGGGCACATCAGAGTTTGTTGTACTTTTTACATGGTTTGTCACATGACGTAATCTAATTCATAACTATTCATAATCTCTGTTTGCCTGACAATCTTTGCTTGCCTGACTATCTGTGCTTGTTTGACTATCTCTGCTTGCCTGAAAATCTCTCTGCTTGCCTGACAAAGACTGATTGTCTGGTCATCTCTCAATACTTGATAGTCATTTAGGTTGGATTTGCTCCAAATCCCCCACATAAAATAAATTTTCAATAAGTAGATGAGATATATTTTGTATGTCCTTGACAGTTATACTTACTCTTTGCCAAGTTATATGATGTATAAAAGTTACCCTATGCTATTAGCAACCCACTTTTTTCTATTAAACAGAGTTATCCTATTGTTTTTGAGCCCTAATTAGCAAACAAATGAAAATCTACTTATGTGGCTATTCACATTCATTCTGTTGTGCAGGTATTTTTTTCTATTTCTGTAATTGAATGCATCCTTTTTTGCAGATCAGTGAACAGTTTGGAGCCATTTGACCGCGTCCTGCACGCTGAAGAGTTATGGCTCTACAAGAATCCCATGTCTGAGGAGTTTGTCCCAGTCTATGCACTATGGGCCTTAGTGGTTGGCATACCATGCATAATCTTCATGTTCCACTTTGTCCTGACATTTGATGCATTCAGCACCTACAATACATTCATGGCCTTCTCACTTGCTGTTGTTGCCAACTCTCTCATTGTCAACACTATGCAAGTTATGATAGGTCAGTCTTGCATTTGACTTCGATATCAGTACCTAGTATGTATAATTATTTGTGTTTTAGTATGTTCAGATGTGTGATACTGCTGAAGTTATTTGAAATCTTATATACCAGTACTGTTTTTAACAATTTACAAAAATTGCTAACTCATTGATTAGAAAGGTGACTAATGATGGTCAGATATATAAATATTTTTTGATTGAACTCTGGTGCAGTTTTACATTGCTGAACTCATGAGCAATTTTTCCTTTACTGTAACATTTTTTCCTAGGTACCTACTCATTTTTAATATGGGTTAAAGTCTATGTGTTGTAGATGCTTCCACAATCAACCCTGTGTACATGAGCTTTCATTCAAGAAATTTTCCAGGTCGTCCCCGTCCAGATTTCCTGCAGCGATGTTTCCCTGATGGCGTTGTCAAGTGGCCAAGTGGCGATCCTGATGGAGGGCTTGGCATTGGCGGTGTCGATTTCTCTGCCCTGTGCACCGGCAACCCTGAAGTGATTCTTGAGGGTCGCAAGAGCTTCCCTAGTGGTTGTGCTTCATGTAAGTGCAGTGAATGCTGTTTGAGAACATGCTGTGCATTTCTACCATGTCTATAGCCTTCGTCCATCACATGATTATTTTATCTAGACTGCGATTCAATGCATTAGCAAAATATCATTAGTATTTTCCTTCACATTTTATTGCCTCAGTTACTTTCATTTACTCAAACTTGGATGCTCCACATTCAAAACCTTCATCAAAGTAATTATCTCTTTCAACTCTCTTCCTTGTCCAGGATCTTGATCTGAAGATTCTATCTCAACTAACGCTTTTTGCATCCCCAGTGTGTTCATCAGAAAACCCATCTTCTTGTTGCTGACGTATTGTTCAATGTTTTCTAGTGTCTGATATGAAGATTGACTCTAAACTCATTTATAATGCGTTAAAAAATGACGTTAATTATTTCCTTACTAATTATTTAGTTGTTGCAGTATCGTTCTGCGGGCTGGGATATCTGTCGCTGTGGCTGTGCCAGCAGTTCTCAGTGTTCACGACAGGACGTGCGCAGGCGTGGCGCTTTGTCCTGGCTATGGCACCTCTGGGGTCCGCTGCCTTCATCGCTCTCAGCAGGACCTGCGACTACTTGCATCACTGGCAAGGTCAGTCAGACTTGGTTGGAGATTACTTGAATTGGTTTCTGGCCATTTAATCTCTTCACATTCTGCTATATGAACAAGTTTAGGGCTGCTGGCTACATTGCCCATTTAACATCTTCTGGAAATGTCTTGAAGTGGATTCGCACAACGTTGTCTTACTCCATTACTTAGCTTATAATCATGCGATTTTATTAACACTCGTTTGTGTATATCTGTTTCATGAGGATCAAACAAATTTCTATCACTTGTATTATTTTGTATTAGTACCTGACCCTATGCTTCCCCCCCACAGACGTGTTGGTGGGGGCTATGTTAGGCTGGAGCCTCGCGTTCGTCTGCTACCGACTGTACCATCCTCGGCCCGCCTGCTCCTGTCAGCTGCTCGAGGCGCCATCTTGTGGCTCGTCGCGCCTCGGCTCCCCTGCTAACTCCAACCATAGCCACGGCCTACTCTCATGATAACAATATTTATTTTGAGCCTACTGTTTCCTCATGTCTCCATCTGCTAGAAATTATTTCAGATTTTTTTCAACATTTTATACATTTTATAACAAGTACGGTCTGTTCTTATACTGCTTACATGGGTTGTACGAGTTCTAATTCAGGGCTTTTTTAGTTCTATGACCTATGTTCATATTTTTTCTACCATAAAGCACTTTTTTGGCTTCCTTTTATAGTGCATTCTAAGGTTTGTTATCTGAATATACTAATCTCGAAACACTGTTCCTTGGTATAATTCAACGTGAATATTCCACGCAAAATATGTTCACTAACTTCACGCAAGATTTTTACATGGGCTTGGGCATGTGACGAGACAGTCTCGACGATGCCGATGCAGCTTGTAGTATTTTATTTGGAGGAAGTTTAGTAGTGTTCTAGTGTGCCAAACTCTGGACTTAGTGGTGCCGCTTATTGATAATTATAACGTTTTTCCTAACAGCTCTCTAGCTTGGATTACCAAGAGATTATTTTCATCTCCTATTTAAGGGGTAATATTATTGCGGTTGCTAATATTAGCCTATTAATTATTGATATTGTTAATAGTAATAATATTTGTTTTGATGGTTATTATAGTCAGCTCCACAGTTTGCACCTCTAAATATTATAGCTATTAATTTATTAGCAAGGAAGCCAAAATTTCATAAGTTATTTGCAAACACTTTATCTTCATTGAGCAGATATTTCTCGGCGGCATGCTCTACAGTATTTGATAAACATTCGCTCATAACGCACATAAGTCATCACCAGTTGTGAAACCACTGATTCACGTCATATTGCTTAACAAGCCGGTATTTGATCGAACTTATAATTTATTCTGATAGAATTTATTGACAATATTCATCTGACTCTCTTACCGCACAAGTGATAGGTTCAACTATCATGAAAAGCTCATTTGACTCTGCTACCGTTAGTTGAAGTGAAGGTTATATGAACTTCTTGCAATTTTCAACTGTTCCAAATAACGTTCATGCGATGATAATTATAACTAATAATATCCGTAAAAATAATAATAATAATAATAAATCTTAATTCGCGATATTTTGTGGGCTATAAAACTCGTCCAATTTAGATCTAATTCAATTTGGTTGTTTTGATCAGCGTCGAGGCTGTTTTAAATGTGCTAACTACATTATTGTGAGTATCCCATGCCAAGTATACAAGAGCAATTTTAATCAAGCAGCTATCGTGTGTATTTTTATTGAGTATTTATACTACAAACCGGTTTGTTTAACGTCTTCAATTGTCATGCTCATGACAGGATAATAACTTGTGTCTTCCTGTGTACGAGCGGAGTACGAGCTTGCGGCTCCCTACAGTGTAGTGATTGCTTGGGCCAAACTGAGGTTTTTATGCCTGATTTTGTAAGGTATTGTGAAACTGAGCTTTTAATGCCCGGTTTCGTGAAAATGTTGCCACGAAAGCAGCTTTTATTTGCAGTTGTACTTCTGTGTTCTTAGCAGATCTTCTCTTTTACAATAAGCTCTTATATTCTTCAGTGAAGTCGTCATTAAAATAAGCTAAATAACCTCTGAGTGAGTTGAACATTTTTTTGTGATAATGGAGGGTATATCTATCAATAGTGAGGTAAATATTTTATTTAAGTTGTCATTAAATGTATGCTGACCACAATTGTGAATGAAGTAAAGTTCTTATTGTGGCTTGTTAAATTGTGCGACAAGAGAAGGGAGTTTGGCAACCGATTCTCTAGTGCTTTAACACTGGTTGGCTAAACTTGAATGCGTTGCCAATTTTTAATCAATCTTCCTTAGTATTTAGTTCAAATCAAAATGCGTGTTGGAACGAGCTGTTATTAGAACGATTTTTCAATAGCCAACAATGGCTCGGTGAAATGAGATCTGACTTGATGCGAGTTTATGCCAGGCCCAGCTTCTAATATCTTAAGTGCGTTTCTAATCCGTTTTTGGTCCAAAAATTTACCTCCGTGTTAATTTTTAAATTAATGGTGCATATTAACGATCTTATCCTTACTCTGGATGTGACTATTAGATTGGCCCGAAAACTTCTGTGTTAAAGTGATCTCTCTGAGTCGTGTTTGAATAGAAGCTAGTATGAGTGTTTAAATCTTAGATCTTTGAGAAGCCTGCGACCGGCGATAGAGTTAAAATGTACTCATCATGACTATTGTCCAAATAACCGAACAGTATTTATCCTTGTCCTAATGAACACTATTCAATGTTTCTAATAGATTTAAGGCGGTAGCAGCTCTGGTTGCTGTATACAAATAAATATTAGTGTAGTCAGTGAGTGCTTTTGCCCGCTGTAAATTATGTTCCATGATGTTCATGGTTGTCGAATTGACGATTTTGTCAACATTATCCATTTCTATACGCACAGCCCAAATGCAGCTACGTAACTCACGCATCCTCTGAAGCCCGTGACGTACAATCTCGTACATAAGAATAACAGACAGAAGAGGAAATGCCAGATTATATTTCTGAACAATAAAATTATCAGACAGGAAATGGTGCATGATTAATAATTATATTATTCAACTTGTTCTATCTTAACTCTATGTAGCATTTTTTAAGCCCGATTTACCGATGCTGGCTTGAGAATTGTTAGCGGGAGTAACTGTATCGATCCGATAATTTGTATTCATCCAATAAGTAAAGCATTGAGCACGGATTCTGAAAAATCGAATGTTGGCTTATATTTCAAACTATTTTTGCGTGTGTTGATATCATTACCATCTATCGTTGTAAAGGTACTTGGGCCGTGCCGAACAAATATATACTACTGAGAACTGTAATTTACTCAAATGCTTTAAAACGCTTTATATGTATGAATTATTCGGTTGGGGGAGTATTGTAACCTAGTCTTATATTTGATTATTTATATTAATGAACTTGCCTGTTAACCCTTTTTTGTTAAACTCGTTTAAAATGGAGCTAGTTTCAATGAAACGACTATGAGTCGAGTTGTTTTTGCACAAGCATTATTTTATGCTTTTTTTTTCTCCTGTCGCTCATGCATTTTTGTGGTTACAACGCTCTCGATGTATATATTCATTTGAGATTATGCGATAATTTTTTTTCAACTTACACAACTACAATCACAAATAAACTTACACATTTAACAATCAACTTATCATCATGGTAGTATAATATTCAATCCTTATCTATGGTAAATAGCTTCTAATATATGGCTCTTCACAAACTTCACTTTTTATACTGTCACTCCGAGTTCAGTTTAATAATATATTTATTCCAGATCAAACAGGTAGCTATTAATCTCATTGTTTTTCATGTTATGCTTTGAAATATTGTGTTATACTTAGCGGCATAATTGTATCTTCAAAGTAATTATTCTGATGATTCAAATTCTGGCAACTAATTACGTTCTAAATAATTTTAATGATAATTTACCCTAGGTGTCCATAGTCAGCAAAAAGTCAATTATTCAACGGTCGTGAAGGCTAGTGTTTCTGAAGCGAATAGTTCTTCCACAGTCTGTCCATTAGACAAACATTCATAACTGTATATTATTGTCGCTTCATCATGTGTCCTATGATCGTTATTTAATTCAGCGTTATCATATTTCTCAATTTGAGTGGGTTACTGTTGGAATTCAGCTTAGATAGTCGACGCTACTGCAGTGTCAACCAATGCTTGCTGCGTTTGAAAATGTTGGTGTAATTAGCAAAAATAATAACTTTAATTAATTAAATAACAAAAATGTTGGTGTAATTAATTATCACAAATATTGATTAATTTAATTAATTATTTAACACAAATACTGCTGTAATAAATGAACACAAATATTGATTAATTCAATTTATTAAATTATACAAATGTTGGTGTCATTAATTAGCACAAATATTCATCACTGAGTTTGCTAGAGAAAATATGTGATGCATGTTGAACGACCCGTTGTTCTGTTATGTCTGAATTATTCTTGTATTGAATTGCATATTGTGGTCTGCATTCAAGGGGACTTAGAAATTTGTCTCGTAACTGCACATGCGAATTGTGATGTTGAGCTTCGGCTGTATCTGCTAAGCTGGTTTGTTTGTTGATCTTGAAGCTGTCTGCTGTTGACATCGAGTACAAGTTTCCTGATATCATTTATAAAAGTTGGGGTTTCAGTGCATTTCTTGCTAGAAAATCGTCTAATTTTTGCTCAAGTTCAATTTATATTATTCCTCGCTTAACTTCAAATGTGTCGCACTGGAAGTCCTGTTTTCCCATTTCATTCCCTTCTGTAAAAAGTGAACGTTAAGCAGCTCGTGTCCCATGTCCGTATATTTTAAGAAAAGCTGCATTGGAACTGCCACGAATGAAACAATTTTGCTTCCTAGCCAGGCTTCCGTGATCATTTCTTTAACGGCTGTTTTTCTTTTATTATCGTCTCATAAAATTATTATCTTTAAGATGTATTGCTGCCAAGATTCTTCTACTCTGAGAATGAAATTCAAATATTGGCATGTGCATCAGGTCATAAACTTGAAATATGCTATGAAATCATACATTTTACATTTAGCGATGTAGGAATCCAACATGGCTTCGCTCTTTGCCGACATGAGCTATTTGAATTAATTCCGGCAACAGACTTCATTTGCGTACAATTAATACGTATTCTTCTTGTTACAAGCAATGCTTTGCCTTCACTGGCGTTTCAAGTCGTTTTTATTTCCCCCTACCTGAGCTGAGCTGTCTGAAGCTTAACTTGAGCTTGAAGGATTGAAAATTTGGAAGAGCGCTTGGTCGACCTGCAGTTATTGCCAACTGTATTCAGTGGTTCTCTATTCTCCCTCCACTGCTACCTTTTTAAAGCTGCAATACGGATATTACCCACTCACTAGGTCAAAACTGAAGTCTATTAACTTTTCTGACGCTTTTCTCTTACGTCCATTAAATTTGTCAAGTTATATACGAGGGTAGGTAATTTATCCCATTTTGTGAACTACCGGCGCAGCTGATTGATTCTTTTCTGGTGCGCTTCAATAGTTGAAACAAATCGTCAGTTCATAGCATCTAAAGATTCTCTCAGGCAAACTATAAATAATAAGTTATCGTGGAGTAAGGATTGTGTTGAAATGGTAAATTGAAGCGATGTAAAATATAATAAAGAACATAAGAGACTATCAATACAATGGTATATTTCTCGGCAGAGTAGACAAAAAAAAATGCTCAATCATACAAGAACTACTCTAGGAAAATCAAGCAACCCTGAACAATCCAAAACTGAAGGGTAGTAAGTAACGGGAGAAAAAAGTAAAAATTAACTGAATTGATAGACAACTATAGTAAAGAAGAACATTTCTTATCAATTTCAGCAAGTAGTTCAGTTTTGACAAGAGGTGGGAATGAGCAATTCATTCGGAGCGAGTGGTGACGTGATATTAACATTACGCGGTCCCGACCTCACGAGTGGGAACTGAATGCAATCTAAAATGAAACCACGCGCCTAGTGTCTCTTCGGGAGAAAATTATTACCAAGTTTTTGATTTAACCAAGTTTAAACAACGATCTTTATCGTGTAGTCGCTTTTTAATAGAATAAAAGGGAGAAGATGGCTTGCATTGGTGACTTAATTTCAAATGAAGTTCATACCTCTACTAACAAAGAAACCAGGAAACTTGTGCACTCACACAACAAAAAGTTCACATTGAGACGTAAATTGTTTGAAGAAACTTTCCAATACTTACATTGCCAATCCTAAAATTGTAAATAATTTGCCGTTAATGAGCAACAGCTTAACTAACTGAGCCATAAAGATATCGCGATTTGTAATAGAATGGACATTTTTTGAATGTTTTTGTTCAACACAGGCTAGCGAGCTTGCTAGATATCACACTAATTCAAGAGTGAACAGTTTTTGATTCCGAGCATCGGTGAACAAAATAAAACTAATATAAAAATGGTCGGCTGCACAATAAATGTGAATAATTTTGTCAGCCAAGACAACAGTAAAATCAAAGTTCATAATGGAGTCTAGCGAGTTGAGATTGCAGAAACTCAATTTCAAGTGGGAAGTGTAGAAATTCACGCTCTAAAAAATGTACATATGCAACTAACAAACCCGCCTTCTGCAAAATATATTTTTTTATCCCAAAGTTTAGCTCACATAATAGCCATGTTAACGCAGCTGTACAAAATCGTTCTCATGACAGGCTTCAGGCTATTCTCCCACATTATCTTACATAGAGTACGAGTGGGAGCTTAAGATTTATATACTATGGTACATTGATAGGCAATCATTGATTCTAGACCTGTTCTGAACCAAGACCTAATAAATCGATCTATTTGCAATCTCCCAATTCACTACAGTACATTGATCCTTGACTCTGAACCAGGACCTAATAAATCGATCTATTTGCAATCTCCCAATTCCCTATAGCACATTGATCCTTGACTCTGAACCAAGACCTAATAAATCGATCTATTTGCAAGCTCCCAATTCACTACAGTACATTGATCCCAAATTCAGAATCACGACCTAACATTAAGATTTATTTCCCATAAATCATAAAAGCTCAGTCACGAGCTGACGATTCGTGCACTACGGCACTCGCGTCGGTGGATGCGTCACTCGTGGACGGCGACAGTGGAACATAGACACCACCTGGGCCTTTGGGTGGCGTGAAGCTTCGTTCTGCACAATAAGAGATAATTAGTAACACATATAGAACGGTGACTCAAACTATCATAACCTAGAATGCTTCAGTGGCATTGCGACACTTATTTTCATTCTGCTCATTAACCCTCAACTTTTTAGCTGACAGCAGCAACATCTTTACATCCCAAGATTATTTAACCTTACTCACTGTATTTTTATTAATAAAATCAAATGCCAGCCGATGATCAACATCTTGGAGTTTATTTGTTCGTTTTATGAGTCGAATATAATTTAAATAAATTTTCATTTGCAATTAATTTCAAACGACTCAGGATAAGAGCTTCTCACCGTACTGCTCGTCGTCGGGCGGAGTAAGGAGCACCGAATCGTTCTGCAGGGCTGTGTCCTGCACTTGCTTGCTGGGCGGCGGGAGGGCAGCGCTGTTCTTTTTCACACAACTCGGTAATTCGTCAAGATTTGCACTTCCTCGGCACGTGACGTTGTCATCATTCGAGTCTCCACCGTCGCTGCTAAGAACACCGTCGCAGTTTTCAGAGTCCACAAATGCAGGGACGTCAGTTTTTCTCACTTCTTCGTCAGAGCTTGAAGTATTGCCTCCTGAAGGCTCGTGCACGATTTTTCTTCGTGGCGAATTAACAAGAAAAGAGTGGAAACCAGTAACATTAGCTCCTAAACTAACCATTGCATCTAGGAATACTTTCATTGGCAGCTCAGGCCCAAACATGTCGCCAGTGACGGTCATAGTTAAATCTTCTGCGGTATAGTTTCTCTTTGATTTTCCAGTTTTCGCGATATACTCTCGAAGCTTCGCAGCATTATCAGGAACAGAATCATCTGTAAAACCGGAAAAATTATACATTTCTTCTAGAACAACGAATGGAGAAGACTTGCAATCCGCACCATGCGAATCTTCCCCGAAGCCTTGAAAATCATCGACCTCTGATTCTCCGGAGCCAAAGAAGTCCAATGATTTAGACATACTCGGCGAATCTTCATCATAGGAGAGAAGAATTTTTTTACCTCGGTCGCCAGTAATGATAACTCCTTCCTGAGTCACACTGATGTTGCGAGCTGGTGATGGTCTGGATTTTTTAGCGGATGACTTGAATGTTTTCCCATTTATTCGTCTGGCGCTTAATAATGATCCAACAGATCGGCGCTTGGATGACGCGTTTTTACTACTTGCCTCTATCATCAGCTCATCGTAAAAGGCATCTGATGAATCAGAGTCTTCATCGCCAAGTTTGGACGGCACATTAGTACTAGATATAATCGAATTTTTGTTGCGATCGCAAATACCAACACCTTCAACAATTTTCTTAGCACTCATAGTTTTTACAGTTTTCAAAGGAATTTCATCATCTGACGAAGACGATGAGGAAGAACTAACTGAGCTAGACCTGTTTCTAAGTGACTGATAGTGAGGTTTTGTTGATTTGGAAGAAGAATCTCTTGAAACTTCATGTTCACTGTCGCTCTCAGACGAATTTCTTGAAGCTCGTCTCATTATTCTTTTCTTCACCGGAAGACGGGAATCGTCCTTAGAAGATTTTCTTGCAAAGCGTTTCGATGCATCTTCCTGACCGTTTTCTTTCGCTGATCGATTAACAAGTCTTTCTCCCCTATGTAATTTCTCAGTAGATTGAAAATCGTTTCCATGTTTATCCAAACATTCCACTTCGACGCGGGGCGAATCGACTTTTTTCACATCAACCTTAGCAGGTTTGGTCTCATCTTCGGATGACAGAGATGATAGGGTGGTTCTAGCAAAGCGTTTCTTCACGGGCAGGTGTCGATCTTCATCTTCAGAGGAACAGTCACGCAATTTCTTGTTCGACGAAAATCCGTTCGTCTTAGGAACATCCTTGTTGACTGACGACTTTGATTTTTTCAAGTCCGATGTTTCACTTGGATCCATATTCCCTTCCATGAGGCCTTTCATCTTCTTAAGGCTGTTAGTGCTTGATGATGAAACATTTCCAGGTTCTTTTCGTTTTAATGGAACGCTCGACGACGTCTCACTCTCTCTATATTTTGTTGTCTTAGGTTCTTCCTCAGGTTTATGTTCACGTGGCTTGTCATACTTAGAGGATCTGTGAGAATCAGAATGACGTTTGTTATCATAAGACCATGATTTCCTATCTGCTGGGCTTCGATGTCGGTCGTATTTATCGTGCGAGTGTTTGCGTTTATCGCTTGAATGAGAGGAAGATCGGTGCTTTTCAGACGATGATTTATCTGTGCCATGTCTATGATGACTAGATGATTTCTCGGATTTTCCTTCTTTGTCTCTTTTATCGTTTTTATGGTAATTTCGGTCTCTGGATGGAGTTTTTTCGTCGATGCTTTTGCTAGACGATCGCGATTCATCACTTCTTCCTTTGGATTCCCGTGATTTTTCACGGTCATTTCTGTGAGAATCTTTCTCGCGATTGTGATTCTTACTGTAAGAACTGCCTCTGTTATCGGAAGATCCCAATTTCGAATCCAGGTCAGTTTTTCTCGGATTCTCCAAAGTAACGGGTAGTCCCAACAAAGCATTTTCAAAAGCAGTGGGCACGTGACCAACTTTCATTTCTTGTGGGTTCGACGAAGGCTTTTTGAAGGCAGACGAAGATTTCTCCTTTTCCTTCTTGACATTCAAAGAAGACTTTGGCTTTTTGAAAACAGGGATATCATGAGGCCGAGCAACAACATTTGCATGAGCAGGTTTTTGGACAGGAATTAATTGTAAAGCATTCGATGGCTTGCCAGAAGCAGCTGACGAGTCCATACCCGGCACCTTCATAGTAGAACTGTAACCGGAATACACAGCTTCAGTCCTGGCTATAATTTCCACCTCACTAAGTTCACGGACCTTATCATCAACAGATGCCGTTTTGTTTGGAGGCCAAGAAGCATTTACCACGTTTTGATAAGTAGATCGATTATATTGGATCATAGCCTGCTGTTGTGAAGTGCCTGGGCGTTGAGAGGCTTGTGTTGGCTGAGAAGTTAGCTGAGAGACCGATAGGGTGGATCCTGAGTGCGAGGCTAAAGTTGAATTTGGCTGCGTACTCTGACCAACATTCCCGCCATTACCACCTTTTTCATCATCATCGTCGTCCTTACGGCTTGTGGGTAGAGGTCGATGAGCATAATGGTCGTCAGTAACAGCTTGGCTTGCTTCAGAAACTCTTTCGGTGTCGGCACTGTTTTCCTTGTTGGCAGTTACTTCAGTGGTGGCAGTCGCACATGAAGATGAGCGATTCTCTCCTACAGGCTTAGACTTATCATCAGTTACCGAATAACCAATACAAGAGAGTGGATCAACAGCAGAACGCAGAGGCAAGACATCGTTTGCCTCAGAAATAGCAGTCGTAATGACGCTTGCAGAGTGGTCAGAAACAGTGGAATTAGATGTAGGAGTCGGAACGGCCCTTAAGTCTCCATCGGCCGAGCATTGGGCTGAGCATGACTGAGATCCAGAAATTGGTGATGTACCATTAGAGGGATATTCGATACCAGTTACTGAAGGTTGCGAATGAGGATCGGCATCTGCAGCAGGTGAACGTCTGGTTTCTACAGCAGGAGGCGTTGATAGAGTTCCAGCGCCTAAGGAAGGTGGTGAAGGGCGTCGAGCAAGTTCAGGAGACGCTGAAGAAGGCCTTTCAATAATCTTGGGAACAGCAGGAATTGACGAAGGAGGCCTGATACTCGTAGGAGATAGTGAGGAAGATCTGACACCAGCTAAGGAATTGCCAGATGCCTCGCACGTAGGAGTAATTGGGCTAGCGCAGGAGTCGTCGTCAGCACTAACAGGACTCGCACCTAAAAGTAGATTATCGCCAGAAGGTCCAGCAGCACCCGGCTGTACTTCCATCATCGCAGCGGACGTTTTCGGAGCGGCGCTTGACTCGCCACCATTAAGTGATGTCTGGCTGGTATTTAAGGAAGAGCTTCCGTCCTTGGAAGACTTGGAAGCGGAGAAGGACAAGCCAGAAGAGTTAGAAGAGATGCTGTCCAAAGATTGCGCGTCAAACAGAGGGCCTGAAGTATCGTGCAGAGAAAGCAGTTTCACTTTGCTTTCCACTGTTTCCGAGCCAGCGCTGGCTGGGCTAGAGTAGCCATCACGTGCGTCTTCTCCTTCAACCTGACCAAGCAAAAAGAAGCAAAAATTGGGCGTAATTTGAAACCGTACATCGTACTTTAATCTTCTATAAAAACTTCCTGGACAAGTTCTTATCCAATTCATAATACAATCCCAGAAGGCATTGTAAAATATAGTAGTAATAACAAAGAAAAGATTCAATAAATTTCTAATTTTCCATTTCAAACTGGGGGTACGAGAGATAGCGTATCACCTTACATTCAACAGAAAGTTGTCATACAACTGAGTGTGACTAACATATATGCCACAATATATATGAAAACTGGACAGAAAAACTTACATGAGATACCTCCTTAGCCGCATCAGGGCTAACGGAGGAGCTTTTAGCACCCAGAATATCGTCCTCCTCTGACGATATCACGTCAGTCTCTATGGGCATGAGTGGCGAGCGAGGAGGTCGCGGAAGTTCGTCGTGGAGCGACGGCGGATGTCGAGGTCTGTGCTCCTGACTGCTGTGAGCCTCAGGATAATTCTCAAACGTCGGCCGCCGTCGGTTTTTCTCAGGAACGTGAGGCGAGTCAGTGTCATAGTCCATGGACGCATCAGGCGAGTCGTACCGTCGGTCCTCGTATTGTTTCGAGCCGCCTGCACGCGGTTCATGCTGACCACCTCTCGGTCTACGCCGGGTTTCATCATCACTGCCACGACGAAATTCATCATATGTGCGCCTGTGGCGATCGTATTTGTCTCCTTCACGCCTACTTTTTCGGTGCTCTTCTCTTTCCGGGCTTCCTTTGTGTACATCATCATACTTGGCAACTCGATACTCATCGTCAGAGTCTATCAAGTCTCGGGGGCGGCGTCTTTCGAGTTGACGCGCCGCGCACCTGGAATCAAATTTATCAAGAGACTCGGGACTTTCTCTGAGGGCTTGCCTATGCCGATGTTCACGTCGACTTTCTTTATCTTCAATTTCCAGTGTTTTCTTGGCATCGAGCTTATTTTTATAGTCCGAGCGATCATTGGAATGTGTGTCATCAGCATGACTTGGAGGACGAGGTCTTGGATCAAGCAAGTCGGTAGCCCGAAAATCGCGCCGCTCTCGAATGTAATCACTCGAGACAGAATCATCAGCGGGACTGTCCATAGCACAGACAGATTCAGAAAACGTAGATGTATGTCCAATGACCGGAGGAGGTAAATGACTCATGGAAGGAGGGATGGGATGGTGACCGAAATGAGGGCCAGGAACAGAAGAACCCATAAGGTTACCATCCATGGGCATGGCGGGGGGCATTGGCGGTATATCCATAGGAGGTACAGGTGGCATCACTGGCGGGGCATCTAGAGGAAGAGGAGGCGCAATTGATGGAGGAGGACCCAAAGGCGGTCCTTCCATTGGGATGGGGAGTCCCATTGTAGGAATCTCCATAGGCACCGGAGGCATCATGACGGGCGGGTGCTGGGGATGATGAGGGTAGTGGGAAGATGGAGGAGCAAAATGCTGAGGAGGATAATGAGGAGGTGGATGTTGAGGGGGATAGGCATATGAATACATCTGGTTAGCATGTCCAGGAGGAGGCAGAGGTCCAGATCCCATGCTGCTAGTAAGATTACAATGGTGACTGTCTTTTGGAGTTTCATCTCCAACTCGTGTGTCCAACGGGACATCTGTGGAAACGGAGACATAATTAAAAAAAGCAATGTCATTGACTAGGGTACAAAGTTGTATTAAAGAAGCCATGTTTAATTTTGGACATCCATCCATTCAATTCATTCTACAATTTTATATTTATTACTTAGCCAAGGAAAAAAATTGACAAACAAAACAACATGACGCTGTGTGGCAGAATGTGACAATTGCTTAGACTAGGGAAGCATTTCTATGAGTTAACATTGAATATGCAAGTCAAAAACCTTAAAATATCCTCACCTTCAGTGAATTTAGATGGATCAATGTTGAGGAAAGCATAGACAGACTCTTGAACGCATGGCAAAATGAAACTTTGTATTTTTGGACTCACAACCTGGTTGATGATCGTATCAATTCCAGTGTCCAGCATTCCACTCCTGAAGAACATGAGCTCAATAAGGAACAGCTCAATGTGTGTATAAATCATAAGGAACATATTGTTTGTATTGAACACACAATAAGGAATGTGTGTTCAATGCAAATAATTCTAAGTATAAATAGAAAGAAAGAGATTCCCTCCAAAAACTTTTCAGTAGCAGACTTGGTAAAACTTAAAATCAAGTTCTTCTTAGGCCAATTATATCAATAAGGTTAATTTAGGAACAGAAAACCGAATTGTCTATACTTAGAGAAGTCAGCAACCTTGGCAGCTGGTGCAAAAATTTAGCTTTAAGAGTCAGTAGTTCTTATACAAAGTTTCTTAAAAAATTTGATTAGGTACTTCAGACAGGTTTATGCACTATTTAGTATTCTTTTTAAAATTCTTGTTCAATAGTAAATGCAAATATGCTTGTTCTAAGACACTTAGAATGCACCACAAAAACCACTGTATTCCAAAACACGTTCATGCATTCTTAAATACAATAAGCTAAATCTTGAATGTGATCAAGTCCTAGTTAATAAACACACATTCACTTAGTTTTAGATGTATTTATGCAACCAACACTTACTCTTGGACGTGTTTACGCACTCCATCTCGTAATTGGTTCTTATTGAGGTCAGCTTTCCACTCCGTTTGTGAGAGATATTTCTTCACTTGACTCTCAACTCTTAGCTGCAGATTTTGATATGCAGGCTGAAAGTAAAACAATTGTCAAAAATAAATAATCATGAATGGCATAAAAAATACTCTATCATAGTATATAGCATTGAGCACAATAATACAGCAATAAATTCATCACATGATAGAGCCATCATAGTAAAAATATACCATATTAGTGTAATTTTTTAAGAAGCTTGAACATCAGATTTAAATTTCCACTACAGATTCAGGTGCATACGCTGCAATTGAATACTAGGTGCTAACACTCATGGCAAAGTATCTCCAAAATCCTATCTTGCACCTATTTCTAACTAAAAATGATTTTGAAATGGTTGACTTGTATTCTAGGGATTGCTTGTAAATTGTTCAACATAAAATATTGATTATCCCAATTTACCCATATTATGAAATCGTTGAATCTGATTATTTTAGCAGCAAAGAAGAATTTTGAATCAGGGATTTTGATGTTTATCAGAACAATCACCATGAAAAGCAGATTATCCTGATAAAGCTCTCATCACACAATTGTACCATTGCAAGCCACTATAAACGTTAGCAGAGCATGTTATCTCGCATTAGCACTACACATTAGCAGAGCATGTTCGCATACATTAGCAGAGCACAATAGCACACATTAACATTACACCGTAGCACACTTTAGCCTTGCACATTATTACACGTTAGCCAAACAGGTTGCACACCTTAGCAGGACATGGTAGTACACATTAGTCCGACCAGTCGCATCAACAATTTTGGGTCAAATTTTTTTGAAAGATTTTTAATGCAGGTCTAATAAACATAAGTTAGACATTTCAATCATGAAAAAGCTATGAACAAGGCAAAGACAATACTTTTCTGAGAGTGCTGTCAGAATTCATTTAGATTTTAACTAGCGTGATAATTAATTTTTAGCTCGTTTCATTTGCATAAGTTTATATAATAGAAACTAAGCTTGACCCGTTCCACAATGAAGCTATATATTCAAAATACACTACTGAAAATGTTTAGGGCAATAAATGTATCTATAACCTCTTGAACACTTTTATGGCCAGGCTTGCAGCCCGTCTCTAAGTTTCAGTGAGCCTAAAATATCTCTAATTTATCAACGCAGCTTGGTGATAATTTGCACATGCATTCAATAAGACCTAACAATGATGTTCAGGCCAACAACAATTTTTAAATTTTGCTTTCTTTTGCAAGTTTTTTGGTCCTATATTTGCAGTGAGCCTAATAAATATCTTATCCTTGTGCACAGGCTTTCCCGTATTACTAGAAAAAGACAGCAAAAGCAAAAAAATGATCACACTATAAACTTCACTGTTAGGCCCTATTGAACATGTGTGCAAAGTTTCATCAAGATGCATTCTTCAATTTGGGGGATATATAAGGTTCACTGAAACATGTAGGCCTGCTGTGTGTCAGGCTGTCAATGTGTCCAAGAGGTATGTATATGCATGCATAAATGAAGCTAACACAAAATTAAAATAAAAAGTAAATTCTTAAAAGTTTGTAACAGCATATTGTAAATAAACATCTTCATCAATAATTACCGTATGTCATAATTGGTTTTGATTTGAACTAATTATACGTGCTAAGTTTGATGAAAAAAATCTGGTGCGCCAATAAAAATAAAAGGTCTTCCAGCGCTTACAGCGGCGTATTGTCAATAAATAGATACACATTTACTTATGTCAAGATCGATTCAGATTTGAAGATCTTATGCGGGCAGAAATGCAAAAAAATTATCATATAGCACATTCATTAAAATCAAAGCAAAAACAGAAATACCCAGTCATGCTCATCCAAGGGCTTGTGAGTGAATAGTTTCATTTTTAATTAGGTAAAAATCATTTTTGATTTAATGAACTTTTGCGTGGAAAACATGCTATGAAACTTTGTTCTACTGTGAAACTTTGTTCCCTCAATGCACAGTTTGCTCTAAATCAGGAAATAAATATAACGCGAAATCCGGATAGCAGCACATGAACATCTCCGCTATATAGACAAACAAATGAGTTATTTCTTTCCTGAAAAAGCGAGCATAATCTAAAACTGAACTGATCGTCCCAGCTGAACATGAAATATAGCTTGATGCATGTAGTGTAGTTGTATACAGTTGCCAGCAGTATGTTTTGAACTGGCGCCATGTGTGGTTGTCATTGCATGTGCTTCTAGACGCACTGTCGTCTGGAGTGTCAGAGGTGTGTAAAAACTAAAAAGATTTTTTTTTGTATATAAATTCCTTTGTTAACTGAGTTTAATGAATTGTATTTTGATTGTTCAACATTGGCGTTCATAAATTTGTTCTGCAATGCATAGGCTTAATTTGCATTCAAAAATTGTACGTTCACCCCAAAAAAATGTGTTCTAGATTGCCACTATGCATGGATCAGGATGCAGTGAAGCTTATCCAGAAATCAGTAGCGATGAGTGTAAGTGATGCAGTGTGTGGAGAGTAAGGGATATTATCGGAGTTGCTTGCAGCATTTACTTATTAAAGCATTTTTATCTCACTCGTAGTTTGTTTTTGCCAAATTTTCCAGAATGGTAGAGAAGTCTGAGATGAGGTATAAATAGAGATACTGATAGCAGTGTGGAATTCCAGAGGGTAATATATTAACTGGTAAACATAGAAAATCAGAAAGCATGACCAAAAAATCTGGAAAGGCCAGCATACTTCCACTTTCAGTCCATCATCATCACTGACGAGTCTCTGCAAGCTGCCACAGCTGTTTAATTGAAAAAAAAACAGAGCTTACATCATCACAGTAACAAGGATCCAATAAATGCTTGAATGCATCCAACATCACAGTCACATAAATTCACTCATCGCTAGAATGTGTGCAACATCAGTCACAAGAATCCAATTAGCATGAGAATGTGTGCAACATCACAGCCACTGGAATCCAATCAGTGTTAGAAAGCTAGAATGGACTGCCCCATATCAGGGTTGGCAATGATTAAATCAAAATGATTAAATCATGTGATTAAATAACTTGATTTTTGTATAAAAAATCATGATTTTTTTTTTATTTATTTGATTTTTTTTTATTTTTTCATATATTTAAATATATTGAGTGGCAGTCTTTAATTTATATTGAGGTAGTGTTATTCATGGTTTACTCAGGTTTAGTATAAATGTACTATGAATGACAAATTGGTATACAAACTTGTTGCTTTTCATGTGTATTAGGTTCTAATAAATTGAATGTTTTTGGTACAGAGGCATCAAGTGTGCAATACATTGTACATTGTACGTAGCTAGCAGCTTAGCTAATTCTTATAAGGCTATACGTAGTCTTTAACTATTTGACTATTTGTTATATATTGATTACAATATTCAGTTGAAATGTGTCACCTAGCTTATACAGGGTGGGGCAGAACTGATTGAACAGTTTTGAGGCAAAATAAAAGAGTAATGCAGGTACCGGTACGTACATAAAGAAAAAAGTTTATTTTCCTCAAGATTAGCATAACATACCATTTAAAATGCTTATGTTTTGAAAACAATATCAGGAAGATGGGGTTTGTTAGCTGCATCACACTATTGGTGTCGTTCTCGGAAAGTTGGCCATTATTGAAGGCAATAAGTGCCCTTTTTAGCCATCCATTATGATCCATATACTGTTATTGTTAGTAGGCTAATTGCAACATAAAAAATAACACTTCAAAAAGACAAAAAAACTGAAAAAATAAAAAAAAATCAAATAAATCAAAAAAATCATGAACAAATCAAAAAAATCATTGATTTTTGATTTAAAAAAAAATAAAAAAAATCACAAACCCTGCCCCAAATGCACACAATGTTGACGCACTGATGCTAATTTAATGCGTAGTGTATTTCAAGTGTGTAATACAATAATGTACTTATGTGACTATTGATGGAAATCACAAAGAATAACATCTTCACTGTGTACATTCACTCACAAATACATGAAAAGCTGCCTATGATTCAATCCACAGATACAAAACTGACCACTGATGCAATAAGCTGAGACATGGAAACTCCTTCTGTTGCAATCAGGAATACCAACCGAACAGAAGACAATAACAAAGAAGGTAGCAGGGATACCAACCATCAATATACTCCTGCAAAAAAATGATACATATAAATTCTTCTACATTACAAATTTATCAGTAACTGACATTCAACAGAATGGTTCAATAATCTTCGTAATTGTTATACATGCAGAATCAATTGTGTGCAACAGCCAAGGTGGCAGGAATCTAATGATGGTTAGTGTTTACTTCTTAGTTCTTGATTGAGCAATCGGTTGCCGAGCCTCAGCAACCGATTATTTTTTTACTGTCCGGTACCATGTTTTTCCATTCACCTTGGGCATTTGAGTACCTAAGCAAGCACGCATATGGCTAAACTTCCACACTCAGGATGATGTATGTTTTCGGTGAATTTTCCCGCGCATTTTCACTTTTTTTAAGCTATTGCTGTGCACAGTTGGCGCAATGTAATGAAAATTTATTCTCTTCGCGCACGTGTTTGCGCAATCCCAGCCATCAATTCTACGTCGCGCACGAGCAGTTTGTGGAGGAACAAACGTAATACTCAGTACAGTATGCCTTTGATTATCTTTCAATAATATATGATTTTTCTTGATACGGAAATTTGGTGAATGAGAAATCTAGAACTTTATTTTAGAAGAAATTTTCTCCAAAGTCTTATGGCAACACTGAACACCGTCTGTTTACATTTCGTATGTATAATAGCCGCAGTTTACGATTACCATACGTTCCGTATCCAACAAGCGGAAGAGTCAGAAGTAACCCGGACATGTCTTACATTTTATTATTGTCAGTTTGACTCGCGTAGTTGATATAAACTTTGATCTTTGATGACCATTGACCAACGAAATATAACTTTTTAATAGGGAGACTTCATGTTTATTATACTACAAGTAATGATCTTTATTTAATTAGAGCCACGTTGAAATGTTTTTTTTCAAAGCCCGCTTCTAGATCATTAATGTTTTTATATACATCCTCATATTGTTAGGGACGCTTGCTGCTTCCATCAGATCTAAAAATGTAAAAGTCTAATAGATACAGATTTGCATGAATAATGCCATTCAATATCGCATAATTCCGTAGTCATATTTTGTATCGCATAGTTTAATAACGCTTTGTAATTATGCCGTATTGACCTAATTTGTATAGTCCATTTACGCGCATTGTTATTAGGTATTGATCGTGTCAATTTTGCCGGATGAGCCGGACCGGGCGATGCTCTTGCAAACGCATAAGTACTCACAATAATTCCCTGCCACCATGATACAGAATTCCACACTGCGCCGTACTAATACCTAATAGAGAAGGTAAAATTGCATGAGAATTTGCATGTAACATTGGTGACAATAAAAATATATCAACAACAACTATAACAACTGAAGAAGCCATTCACTACATTAATTGTCATAAAACATGAAGAAAGGTTATTTTTTGCGTTCTTATATTGAAAATTTCATCATTAATAATGGCTTTTTAATGCATGCCCTAACTCACCTTAGTATCAACGTCAGCAAGGCATTCTTTTCTGAATTGGTCAAATTTCCCTCCAGATTTTAACTGCTGTACAATGGCATTGACCAGTTCAGGGTCCCCCGGCGTCAATTGAGACAGAGAAGTATCCATGATGAATTATTAACCTCCCATATATTTGATATGACTGACCGCAACGTTAACTAGCTACTTGGGCTTCCGCTACTACGATGTTTTCCAGTCTTGCCAGAAAGCATGAACGCACATTTGTTCTGTGAGCAAGCCGCTAGTAAAAGTAGAAATCCCGCTAACGTGGAATTTTTTCTATAAATATTGTAGTTGGATGAGCATTATTGATCACAAAACCTCACTCTAAATTAGACAAAGTATTTTCGAGTACATCCGTCTATAGATAGAAAATTATATGGAAAATACATGCAAATAAATTCTTTTCTGCAAGTTTGATTATAGACTACAGTGTGCTTAGAATTTTTAATAATATTGTTATTTGTTTTTTTCTTCAATGAGTTAAACGAAATTTCTTGCTTGCGCCGGAAGATCACGAAGGAAGTTACCAACTGACATTTTAATGGATTGCGACGTTTCGAATATACAATTTTCATTATCAAGCAGAAGGTTTTGCAAAACTTGAAATTGAACTTTAGAAAATTTATTAGGATATATTGGAAAATATATTCATATTCTCTACGAAACTCATCCGGACGCTGAAATTATTTTCAGAGTAATTTTAAAAACTTTATTTCAAACTGTATCCACAATACCCTTGATTTGTACTTCTGTCATTTCCGAAGTTCAATTTCAAGTGTTGCAAAACTTTTAGCTGCTTCATTATGAATACTGTATTTTCGAAACGTCGCATTCCATTGAAATGTCATTTGGTAACCCACTTATTGATTTCCTGTCTCCAGCAAGAAATTTTGTTCGATTCATTAAGAAAAACTAATAGAAAGATTATTGGAATAAAAAGCATGCTCTGATCTTTAATCAAAATTGCATAAAGAAAATATATACGGATATATATAGGATTTAATTCTATTCCATCCTTCATTTCAACAGAGGTCAGAATACAGACCGCAGAAATGACGCTTTGTACGAATAGGCTAATCTAATTAAAAAATTTTGGATGATTTACGCTTATTCAAAATTGAATCCTATAAAAAATGACTGTTGATCGTATTTTAAGGGGAGCGTCTTGCCTAAAATTTATCTCAGTAATTTACAGAGGGATCAATCTGAAATTTGGTACACATGTGTAAACCCTAAAATAAAACAGGTTTTATTCGTGTGAATTTTTCGAAAAAATTGAAAGAAAACGTGAAATTCTTAGAAAACGACTAAAAAAGGGTACTTTAGAAAACCTATCTCCTCCTAGGATTTTCAAGCTACAACATCGAGACACATATCATTCGATGCGTAAAGACCACATCTACAAAATTGTGTATAGGTTTTTTTCAATTTCTTATTTTTGTGGGTGTGGGAGCATTTTTTGTAAAATTTTTGGAAATTTTTCGATTTTAACCCCCGCCTTTCCCCTTTTTGCAGAATAAAATCTAAACTATAGCGAAATTAGAAAACGCATACACACTTTTGTAGATCTTTTTTTCCAAATCGAATGGTGTTTGTCTCATTGATGTAGCTTCAAAACTCTAGGAGGAGATAGGTTTGCAGTGACAATAAGTTAACTTTTCAGTAGGGCCCGACAAAGTCGCGCGCGCCTCGAAAAAGTCATTCAAGGGTGCAAGGTTGCAAGACTACAAGATATTGGGCGCTCAATTTCTGTCAAGGATCGTGCGAACGACGGCACGAGAGCCATATCCATATGACTGCAGGCGGATAACTGAAGCACAGCGTGTTCAGACTAGCTATTTAAGTGTGCTACCGGTAATTTAGGCCTATATTAAATGTTAAGGAACTCCACCACCCCTAACCCTTTCGCGATCTGTCGTGAACGCATAAATCAACGTACAGAGATGGTTTTGGTACCGATAGATGCGGCAGAATGTAAGCTTTAACAAAATATACGTTTAAAAATTATTTTTTAAAGACAACACTTCCAAAGAATCCAGTGTCTCCAATCTTAAAGATGTACCATGAATTTCTCATTTAATTTTCGAATATAAAAAAAATTACTTTTTCAATTTTTTTAATATATAATTTTTTTAATTTATAATTTTTTTCAAAATTATTTATTCTATTAATTGATTCATGCATTGACTCTGATTTCACACAAGTGTGCAAAATTTCAGATCAATTAGACAGGTAAAAGTGTGTCAAATATCAGTTATAAGATTTGTAGCTGACAAAATTATTTTTTAAATATTTTTAATATTGAAAAAAAAATTTTTATTACTTTTTAAAATCATTTATTTTGACATTTGATTCATGCATTGTCTCCAACTTTAAACAAGTATGCAAAATTTCAGATCGATAGGATAAGTAGAAGTGTGTTAAATTTCGATTACAAGATTTGTAGCAGACAGACAAACAGACAAACAAGAAGTGAAGTTGAAGAGAAGTGTTGTAAAATGAGTATAAAAACCGAAAAAGTCAAAATTTTCGATTTTGATCGAGACGCTCCCCTTTAAGCTTTACTTGCACTTCCTTTGTGCGATCTATTTGTGTCGTCATCCAAATATCTTAACCAAATGCAAAATTATATTCAAAACGATAGATGTTCGGGATTCAGTAATGCTTTTGAAGTTGTCGATCTATTAGGCTAACTTGAATTCAACGCTCCTGCGTGGAGGTAAAAAGCTCAGTGTTAGTATTGTATAGCAGTATAGGCGTTGAAGAAAAAGCCAAGTTTGGCAATTCGCTGTTTCATGTAATATTCTTGCCTAGTGTCACGGATATCTGACAACTGTTTTTATGAACAGATCTTTCCACAACTGACGTTGAACCCAAGTAATTACTGATTATTATCCATTAATTTGTGAAGTGGGAGGAACTTCTATTCAAAACCTATACCTCTGCACATCTTTATCAGGTCGGTTCTTAAACCCGTTGCCCAATGGACACTTATCTACACACATCGCACGATAACGACTATAGAAATACAGATAACTTGGTATCAATTTTCATTGTATTGTGTGACGTCGTAGCGGGTGTGCAACTGCAACTGAAGCTTATAAACTCGGATTGCATTTTTTAATCTTTTAAGACTGACTGTGGGACAAAATAAGGCTCTGAAAAGTGATCCAGTAATTCCAATTATTGTTTTTAAATCAAAAGTTGTGATTATTGCCCGGCCTTCATTTAAATTAGGTGATGTTTTTTAGTCACTATTCAATTATTTGTCTTCTAGGCACTTTCAATAAGCATAACATAACATAAACATAACATAACATATTGATCTCGGCGCTGAAGTGTAGGCCTAATGTGGCCTGTCGCCGGTTCTTTTCCTTTTCGTGCCTTGTTCACAGCATACAAGAACACTTAAATTAACACATGGAAGTTGAATTTTTCATTCCATAAACAATGTCATTCGGATTTGAGTCGTCAACTTTTACGCTCGGGAAAGCCAAAACTTTTCTGCAGCCACGGATGTTTTTTTAACTCAATCCTATGTAATTCCTACCTGAAGTACAAGATTTTGGTGTGATAACATCTCAGTCTTCTTCAAAATTTCAATTGGACTTTGTTGGCGTTTGAATTAGGGCCTAGCCATTACTGGTTCGTGGCGTGGGGCGCCGCCAGCCAAGCCATACCTGCGTATCATATCCAGCAATTGCTGGTTTGTGGCGTGACGAGCCGCCAGCTCAGCCATACCTGCCTGCATATCAGATCCAGCAATTGCTGATTTGTGACATGACGAGCCGCCAGCCAAGCCATACCTGCGTATCATATCCAGCAATTGCTGGTTTGTGGCGTGACGAGCCGCCAGCTCAGCCATACCTGCCTGCATATCAGATCCAGCAATTGCTGATTTGTGACGTGACGAGCCGCCAGCCCAGCCATACCTGCGTATCATATCCAGCAATTGCTGGTTTGTGGCGTGACGAGCCGCCAGCTCAGCCATACCTGCCTGCATATCAGATCCAGCAATTGCTGGTTTGTGGCGTGACGAGCCGCCAGCCCAGCAATACCTGCCTGCATATCAGATCCAGCAATTGCTGGTTCATGGCGTGACGAGCCGCCAGCCCAGCCATACCTGCCTGCATATCAGATCCAGCAATTGCTGGTTTGTGGCGTGACGAGCCGCCAGCCCAGCCATACCTGCTTCCTATTGATCAGCTGTTCAGTGCCCGCGTGCCTTTGCCGATACAAGGTTTCGGTTTTAAACTCCTGCCATTTCCTGAGTTATGTTAACTTAACTTAACTTGCATCAAGTTATTCCTGCATGTACTTGATTCGTTAGGGTTCAAATAAACTTTTTCAACTCATGTTTGTAAGTTCCTGAATTGTTTGTGTTCTTTAGCTCGGTATTGACCCAAGTTGAATAGGGCGTTTAGAGACACAAAGGTGCGTGGTGAATTCAAAGTAACAGCGCGATCGGTTTTCCATAGAAGCCTCGATGTGGAAACGACGTCTATAATAGCCCCGTTTGTACAGGCCGTTGCTTGTGCCAGTGTAGTAAATCCAACTCAGGTATTGGACTAATAAGTTATATTGGCAGCATCGCGTACTAATAAGCAACAGTGAATTACAATATGCACCAAGTGGACCTCGAGAGAGCAAGTAATTGAAAAAATAGAAGGCATATCCCGACTCTTTCATCTCAGAGATGTGAAAAACAACGTGCATTTCCTTAAATAAGTTAAAGGGGCAATAACTAACCTGTTATCCAGTTTAAAGTGACTTAATCCATGGTATTTAACAGGCTGAAATCTGCAGTGAATTATGGTTTGACGACAATTAATGTTGCGTTGTGGTCGTTAAAGTTTTAATGATACTGAATAATATGTTTACTTGATGTATATTTTCGCAAGATTCAACACGTTCATGAACTAGATCATCTTGAACACAGGACACTTTCATGAACTAAATTCTTTAACATGAATTGTCATGTTTACTTAACGAATTGCGTTCTGTTGTGCAATTCTTTAACATGTCGTGAATTCGACAAAATTATCGACGCGTGAATTCGCAGTTTTCGTCATGAATTCACTGGTGTGATTAAAAACATGGTGAGCGTCACGTATTTAGACCTGAAATTCCAACTTTTTTGTTTAATACTTCAGACTTTGCTATATAAACGATATTTATTTAGCATCTCGTCGACTTCCAAAGTCTAGCTCGGGGGGATGAGATTTATAAACCTAGTGCGCGTGCTGCACATGACCTTAAATTATTTCAATGTCGATTGAATTACTCAAGTTTCGTCTCTAATGCAATACTTTCATTACCTTAAAACAATAAATAGGAAGTAATAACTCTCAGTTGCCTTTTCTGTACCATGGGTACATATTTGCGTACATAATAGTTCCGATGCATATCACCCGATATCGTGCCTCTCATACTACGCAATTGCTGAAATTGGCTTATTAACAACTTTGAAGTTAAAAGGAGGCCATGACTAACACTAGCCCAACAACTAAAGAACTACAACTTCCTATAGTGTGCGTCAGTTTTCACCTTCTTCGATGCTTCACGTCACGTGAGGGGACTTTATCGACACCTAGTAGTTAAGCATCAATTAAAACATTTTTAATTGCAGTGTAAGAATCATCAAAGTTCCAATTTAATAAAGATTATATTCTAACTTTGAAAAATATAAGTTTAAATTTACAAGTTCAAAATAATGTTATTTTTTACGGCAGATTTATTATTTTTTACTTTTTTTTTTAAATCCAAATTTAAATCCCGCATGTAGAAGTTTTGTCCAAAGGAAGGCAGCGTCAAGGGGCAATGATTCATCAAACCTGGCAGCTGGTGAGCATTAATAAGTAATATAATCATATTTTTTCCTCATTAACTAGGTTTATAGTTGTAACTTTTTATAGATTTAACCATGGATTTAAACAATGGAATTGTTGAAGTTGGCAGAGGATTTAAATTTAACTTCATTCAATGTAATTACGCTTTCATACCGTGCTCCCCATTTGTTTCAAGAAATTTCAATAGGGTTAGAATTTTATTTATTTATATAAAGAAGATGAGAATTTGTAATAATTTTCTTTTTAGTAAATATTTTATCATTATTAGCGATTTTCACTACTGGACGTCATTTTGTAATGCGAGAAATGAAATTGCATGAAAGGATTTCAAGGATAAAATAGTTTACAAATGTCGATAACTAATCACTATATATATAATGGTGATCATGGGAGACTGCTAGATCGTCTTCCTGAAAACAATGCCGGGGTCTATTCTTATACCTGATACACCGCATCGTCATGGGCACAAAACACAAAGGCTCAACTTGTGTAATGTGTATCGTGGACTCACGTATGAGTTATATGCATCAACTCCTGGTCCAAAAGTAAACGCGTTTTTTTTTGTCCCACTTGTCCACTAGCGTGTAGGAAATTCCGACCTAGCCGTGCCCAACTAGCCAGAGCAAAGGCTGTGGATGAGTCAGCCGTGACTAACACAAATGGGTTACAGTTTGTCCGAATAGCCCAAAAGTTATTTCTGAAATTATGATCAGTACTCACTGCAGGAGTGACAGAGAGCGCATTTTCTCGTGCGTAAATCAGTTTTCATTGCTATTCGAGCAGTGCGCTGCACTCAGTGCATCATGTAAAACTATATTCCAAATCGCGTCACGTTTTAAATTATTATTAAAATCGACGAGAACGTGAAGTCACGGACAGCCGGACGGACATGACGAGCACAATAGCGCCTTTTTTCCTTAAATGAGAAAATGCGCTTAAAAGGGCCGTCGGAACTAAATGATGCGTTCATTGCAAGTTGTTTATTCAACCAAGCGGGTTGTTCAGACTCACTTGAATATCGGTCAGAATCCTTGCAGGATTCAAAGAATAGAAATTGATTATTGTACGAAATGATCACACAAAAATATTAGGAGGTTTCATTGTGCCGTTTTTGGCACGATTTTGTCTGACGCAGTTCCGTTGATGGCCCAGGCGTGTAACTTGATATAACAGGATTACGTGTAATTCCGCAGGATGGGGAACTTTCTATACAGCTGCTGCCCGCCCTCTGCATATTCTCTAGTCAGGTAACAATACACACATTTTGTTTTGATATAAATAATGCATTTAAGAAAAATTTAATGTTGTTGGATTTTGCGTTGGATTTACTATAAAATCACTCGCAGGTAACGAAAATAATGAAATATTTTTTTGTAAGAAATTTTAAATAGTTTTAAAGAATGCTTTTGAATTCTCCTCTCGAGGAGCAGTCTTTGTTTTACAATGCAAACGAAGAATAAATTTTCTCCTTTGGCTCTTTGTATTTGCTTCAAGAAATTATCTGAAATTATCTCCGTACTCGTACGCAGTGTATTCTCCGTACTCGTACGCAGTGTATTCCTCGTACTCGTATGCAGTGTATTCCTCGTACTCGTATATGCAGTGTATTCTCCGTACTCGCATGCAGTGTATTCTCCGTACTCGTACGCAGTATATTCCTCGTACTCGTACGCAGTGTATTCCTCGTACTCGTACGCAGTATATTCCTCGTACTCGTACGCAGTGTATTCTCCGTACTCGTACGCAGTGTATTCCTCGTACTCGTACGCAGTATATTCCTCGTACTCGTACGCAGTGTATTCCTCGTACTCGTATGCAGTGTATTCCTCGTACTCGTATGCAGTGTATTCTCCGTACAATGATATGGTTCAATCAGTGGAGGGTTTAATTGGCTTACTTATCCCTACTAATTCATATTACCTCTAATATCACTTGAAAGAAAAGAATGCAATTCATTCTTTTTATTATTATTGTTAGATATCAGTCGAGCCATGCATTTTCTTAACATGAAAGTGACGTGGCATGGACTCACCCAACAATATCGTCTCTCAGATACCAGGCGGTGACGGTGAGACCGCGACGAGGTTCCGAAGACGAGCGCCTAGAGGTGAGGTACCGTCAGTCTTACGGAATTATTAAGACCATATTGTTGAGACCACTAAGTCCTACCACAGTATAAAGAACACTAAGTCGTATCACATTATTAAGACCACTAAGTCTACCACATTATTAAGACCACTAAGTCGTACCACATTATTAAGACCACTAAGTCTACCACATTATTAAGACCACTAAGTTCTACCACATTTTTAAGACCACCAAGTTCTACCACATTATTAAGACCATTAAGAGTCCTCCCACATTATTAAGGCCACTAAGTCCTACCACATTATAAAGACCACTAAGTCTACCACATTATTAGGACCACTAAGTTCTACCACATTTTTAAGACCACTAAGTTCTATCATATTATTAAGACCATTAAGAGTCCTACCACATTATAAAGACAACTAAGCCCTACCGCACTAAAAAGACCAGTAAGTTCTACCACATTATAAATACCACTAAGTCCTACCACATTATTAAGACCACTATGTCCTACCACATTATTAAGACCACTAAGTGTTACTACATTAATAAATAGGTGGACACAACTCCAATGAAATTTTTGAGAAACGGTGGTAAGTTTTCCATTCTTCTCACCAAAAAGTTGATAACTTGAAAAGCGACTGATGACTTGTCCGAATGACCAAAACATTCTGCGTAGCTGGTGGTCATACTCCAATCACAATTTGAGAAAGCGGAAGGTGAACGACTGTACAATGTTAATCTAAAATAATATAATTAATAGCAAATTGGAAATAAATGCACATAGGAAATTTCTATAATTTTCAAATAAAACCTTGTATTTTTATTTATTTTAGAGCCATATTTTGCAATATTCTTATAAAGCAATTTTGTCCCCACTCACGCAGCTCGAAATAAGGACTCAACCGGTAAGTGAGTAGGACTGAGTAAAATAATAAATATATGAGGTTTGGAGGCAATAAGTTAGAAATTAAGATTATACCTTATACTAAAGTTTTCTTTATCTTGGCGTTTGATATTCTGTTTTTCACGTTCATGATTTTTTTACTTAAAATTTGGTTATTAAATTATTAGATATTATTAAAAAGAAGCTACATACGATTACCAAATTGGTTTTATTATATGATATCTGACATTGGTTGGTAACTTCTCATCTCTTCGGTAATGATGCAGCGACAACTACTTATAGCCGCACGAGCTTGTGAAATTATTCATTTAATCATTTTAAACATAACTAATGAATGTGTATTAATTGAAGCTGTTTCATATTCATATGAAACTTTCATTTGTTAAAAGGTATAATAATTTTACATTTGGTGAGAATGGAGACATGCGGTAACGATACTATCTTATTAATATATTATCTAAATATTATTTAAATTAATTTAAATATTATCTAAGTTAAAATTAATAAGATTATTTAAAGATAATATCTTGTAATTGTAACGTGGGGCTCTGATCAAGTAAACAAATATTGCTAACTATAAACAGCAAGATTAACTACGCTGGTGAAGGAATATCTTCAAAAATACTACCTTTAGTCGGATTTGATAATTATAAAGTTTTAACTTAACTCTCTGTTCCAGAACGGGTGGCAGTCAGCAGGTGCAAGGTAATCAAAACTTGAGATGATATGCTTCTAATCCAAGCTTAAGTTTATATAGTTAATATACGCTGAAATATTCTATAGAGTGGGTTTATATAATATATTTCTGGGAAAGAACAATTTCAAGACTTGCAAAATTTTTTTAACCAAGCCTATGAGTTCAATATAAATTAAGTGTGGATATGTAGAGAAATAATTATGAGACACCTGCAGAAATTGGTCAAGAAGAGACACCGTTGCTCTATCGAGTGATTTTTGGGACTGTAAATCTTGCTTTTCATGCAGGATCGAAAATTTCTTCCGCCGCACGAAACAAAAGGTAAATTGCGCCTGCAAAAGCACAAGCCTTTGCTTTTTTCACGCACTCACCAAATGTTTAGCTTGTCCTTCCATATATTGACGCTCTTTAAACGCGGTTTTCGTTATAATTTGGCTGACGTAACGTGTCATGTTTTACGTTAAATATAATTCTTTGAAATGTAATGTAACCTTAAATTAGGAGTAAAAAGTTGACAAACATTGGCAGTTAACACGTGAGAGGTTTTGCATGAGGCATCAATTGCATGCTAATGTGCTTAAAATACAACTGGCAACTATTGCAATGCCCAATAACATGCATTAATTTTTGTTAACACAATTGCTTTCGAATGTTCCGCTCCCATTTTGACCTAACAAGATTTCCTAGCGCTCTGGATTCATATATGCAGGTACGGACTTGTATGGGAAATATTTTTTTTACAATATATTTATGACAAAGGGATCTGTATTGTCAAAACCAGTTTTCTCGATATCGAGAATTTTTTACTCTTCTGGCCATGTACGCTGATGAGTTCGATCTTTTCGTCTATTAGCCTTGCGTATCCATTCCAACACACGTCTGCATGCACATGGTGACAATAAAGCAAATGCAGTAGTTTGTTGTGTAATCGTTTGCCATAATTTTTGTTTACAACCGTTGAGTATTCACTCATTCATCTAGTGTTGCCGCAGTATCTTCCACTTTATTATAAGTCTTTTGTAACGAATGTTCTCTGTTAACTTTAATAAAACTTACAAGGGCATTAAGATATTACCACTTGATCTTGGCGACTCAACAATGAACACCACATGTTAGAGAAAGACGGGGGTTGCAAATCTTCGTAAGGAGCTAGAATAATATCCGGCTTAAAGAAACTGACGCGATGATTGTAGAGGTAAACAATTTCCTCATTACAAATTAATGCAAATAGTCGAGCTGCTAATCCAATACAACATAGTGGCTTGAATCTAAGGTGGATGACAGGAGCAAACCTGACTTGGTTCTGCTTGTTTAACCCTACAGTTCAGACGACGAGCTTATTCTGTCTCTTACTTATACAAGTGATGAAGATTCTGTTATCTATGAATTTGAAGAACACGACAACGTCAGAAATGAACAGGAAGAGAGTGCAACAACCGATGACCGCAGCAGTTCATCTAACTTGGAAGCTGGTAACCTGGGTACTGTAAAGCAGCTGCCTCTCGCGCCGAACAATTTCAGCAACAAAATATCTAAAAAATCTCGACATAACTTAGGTCAAAATTCAAATCAGTTTATAAGCAAAGCTAGTGGGCTAGTCACACGTTTTGAACAAATATGTTTCGACATTAACAACTCCAGTGAGAGCATCAACGACGCCGGGCGAGCCAAACACTCGACACGAGATATGTTTCACAGGCAAGAAATTCGAGCAAATGACAGAAATGATGAGTTGGAGAGGTCAATGGACGCAAAAGAGGGATTTATCAACGAGACGAAGATACACTTGCATTCTTCTAGCAATAATATATACGAAAGGCCAGCACCAACCGGAGAGAGTGGAATACATAAGTCGTCTAATGCCTCATCTACAGATGAAACCTCGCAGGTAAATTTGCCAAGCCGTTGTTCCATTACCGGATGTGTAGTGCGATTATTTATATCTGATAAATGATGTACAAATAGAGGAAATGAAGTTTTATTGCTTTTTGGTAGTAAAGCAGGGAGAAAATTAGGAAACGCTGTTATGTGCAATAACATCAAGAATAATAATGTAATATAATTGTTGGCATTATTTGTGGTTTGGCATCTTCAAAAAAAATTTCACCGATGATAATGGACAATACCGATACTATTAATGCATATTTAATGTATTATACATAATGAAAAAAAAATAATCAAATTAAACCTCATATCGTTCGAGTAAAATAGAAGAAAAAAGCCAGCTTCCGGAGAAAAGCTTTATTTTCATACCGGTTTTCAAGTAGACAGATTTACTTGTCTCCAGTCATTTACTTCTAAATAACTACAGAGTTTGTTTTAAAATAAGTTCACATAATGTAGAGCAACTTATGAAATTTAACTTCAAAACAGCTTGACAAGCAGCGCATTATAAAACAGAGAAGGAAAAAATATTTAAAGAATTGCGTCATAATTTGATACGAGCGTAGGAAAAGTGATGGTGCGAAATTTAATAATATACAAATCTTGATTGAATTAATAATCACAAAGTAAAACTTTATGAAAACTTTTTATGAACTTTGCATTGCTATTGATGCATGTTTTGTTGAGCCTAATTTCCGCTGTTTAGATTGATTTCTGTTACGCATGATTTCTACAATTAATTACGAGCACGAGCACCGTATTTCTTGCCTTTGATAAATGTATTGTTCGTAAATTTCAGCTCGTGTAAAAACAAAATCATTTATTAGGAGCAACCATCGCATGTTAAATTAAACTTTATTTCCTAAATTAAATGATAACTCCTATTGCACACTTTCATTTCATTGATTGAATGATATACCTTCTTAATTCCTATATGTCGATCGGTGTGCAATGATGTTGAAATTGTTATTTTTTCTCTTTCATTCGCTTTCATAGTTATTACAGGCTGAGAAGTTGTTTAAAGTACAAAATTCTGACCTCTGTGATTCCTGTTATTAGCTAAAGATTTTTGTAGTATTTCATGTTATGTGTGATAATTAATATAATAATAGTTATTATACAAATAATTTCTAAAAATACGCTTGCGTCAGCTGTGTCAGAGCTTCACTGGTCTGCATACGGGCGCCGTACAGGAGCATCACCTCGCCAGCTTAATCGTCAACCCATTGGCGGACACAGAGCCCTTCACGTGAGCTACAAATATAGAAATAAACCAGAATTAAATTAAATTGTACGTCAGTAACTCTAAGAGCAAACGCTAATGGAAGGTTAGATTAGGCGTTCGTAAGAACTTTATTGGATACGGTCGGAAAAAAATTTCATTGAAACCTATTTTGTACGTGATGATTCGTGCATATTCAGATAATAGCTGAATCCACCAAATATGCTTAGTAATTTTAACGGCTTTTTAGTAATACCTACATTTTAGTATTCGTTATTATTGGTGCATACAGATAATCTCGGTTGAAAACGAAGTCATTGTCATTTGTCAAAACGAAGTCATTTGTTGACATCCAATCCCGCACGGGAATTTTTTCCCATTTTTCTTTTTCTACAAGATTTGAATAATAACTTTAGATGAGCGAGTTTGTTTTTGAAAATAAACACATTCTCTGCGATTTTAGAGCTGGCACTTATTTCTTTCTTTGGTCTTTTGAAATGGCCTCTGATAATGATCTTTCAGTCCTCACAATGAAATACTATATACTTCAACGAACTTGAAACCTTCACGGCTTAACCCAAATTAGCATTTTAAAACAAGATTTACATAAAAAAAACAAATCTTACAGTACAATGTTTTGCCGAATGTATCAATTCATGAATTTCAATTCTGAGTATTTTGACTTCTCACAATTGAACGTTCAATTCATTTCATTGCCCAGGTACAGCAGCCCTCCCAGGGAACCCGTCACTCTGGCCCACGACCTCCTCGAGGTTCAGTCGCAGCGCACCACTTCCATCGAACTAGAGTGGGATCAAGAACCTGGTTAGCTTGGCCAAAGATAAACATCTAAATATCACTTTTCATTATAAAAAAATTTTAGAATTGAAACGAAAGTCTCTGTAACCTAGCTTGTGTTACTTTTTTTCACTGAAACAATTTTGCATGATTTACCAACAAATGATTCAACGTTTTTTCCACAGACATGAGTCAGTACAAGTCAACCAAAGCTCTTCACACGACCTCCCACACGGTGGACTCTTCGATGGGTGGTCTCTCTTCGTCTCGTTTGCGCTCGCTGTGCTCCACGCCGGCGAGTCTAGAGTGGGATTTTAAAGTAGGTCTCGATAATGGGTTATAATTATTTATTACTACTATTGCAATAATAAATAATATATAAACAATAAATATTTAATTATTACTATTGTGGCCTCCAAAAAGCAGATAGTATTTATCACTGAACAAGTACCTGCTTCGAAGCACGATGAGCAATCTTAGATATTATCAATACCTTACGAGTTCAGGAAAGTGAAGGTCCTATATAATCAGATATCAGTTTCACTTTCACGTTTTAATGTTCTTCAGGAATCTACGACGAGTCTGCAGGCTGCGCCCCTCGTGACTCAGGAAGATGAAGACCTTTGGGGTGCCAGCGAAACCGAAGAACTCTTGCAAGAGATCGAACTCCTTGCTTCCCGAGCCCTGCGAGACGAAGACGAACTTGAGCCTGAGCTCGACGACAGAAGTTTCGACGAAAGATAGCGAAACTAAACTCAAGTTGTAAAGGGAACTGTTAAAAATATTGTCTTTGAATGGCTGTAATACAAAAGGTGACTCTATTTCTAATGAGGAGTTAGTTTAAAACTTGTATTGTGTCGTTGTAATAGCTAAAACGAGTTGGTTTGGTGCAAAAGTCAGTTCTACCCAATAGGGCACATTCTTTTTTGAGCTATAAAATTTGAGATAACGTTTTGTGTCAGGATGAAATGCTCTAGTGCCTTTATACTGGCCACCTTAAAAATGACATGGCTAATATACAATTCATAAATACAGTTCATATATGAAATAAGATAAGAGCGAAACCTACTTACAATTGAAAGTCTACAAAATATTAATAAAATATTAGAATGACGTCATGCATTTGCCATTCATATATCTTGGAAACGGAAGTAAAAGTAAACAATCGGAATGAAATATAATAAATAATAAATACATTGTAAAATGTCAACAACAGTGCACGGTTGACAAATTACTGAAAAGAAATGTAGATTCCACTTCTCTGTTGCACAGCTAACGTGTAAGATAATTTTACTCATGGCGCAAGAACACGTCGACTATTTTAGCGAAAGACAATAATGCAACTTCAACTTACATCTTGAAACAAATCATGAACGAATCATTATAAGCTCTTTCGTTAATATTTTTGGATCTGTATTTAATGTATGCAAAAATGTAGTCAGTCGTTTTATGAATTCCAAATGGAAAACTTATTTATATTTTTTAACGTTGATCGCAATTTTCGAGTGTACGTGGAAACTCACGCGATTTAAATTTTCCACGAAATAGTTTTTAAACCGAAACTTGGCCGTTGATAGTCTGCCGGATTAAATTCTATGATACATGGCAAATATCCGGTGCAAGACATTATAACTCCATACGGCTATCATTTTCTGCCAAAATAAATTTTTTATCTAAACGACACTTCTATGTTATGATGTTGTGTTGTCTAGTATCGGTATTTTTTAGTGATACCTCATAGTACAAGTTCAGGAGGGAAGGGGCTGTATATCTACTTATAACAAATTCAATAGATAAATTTTATAGATCTTAACGTCTTTGATACCGATATTAGGATTCTCATTTGAGCAAACCTGCTTGAGTAGCATTAGTATTTTGAGAACCATGTAAAGGGAACGGAACTTGTGAACACTGCTCAATAATGAATGACCTACTGCCTGGGAGACATGAACCGATTATACCATTTTACACTGCAGAATAGTCCTCAAAATTTTATTTTGTATTTTATGGACAATTTTAAATAATTTCTTCTAACCACAGTAGCTTTGCTCCTATAGGAACAATGAAATCGAAGAATTTCGATTGTTTGTCGTGATTCAAACCATTACTTTACTTAGTAAACCTACATAAAAGACAAGTTCATTTATAATATACTCATTTTTTTGCTCTAATGCAACGGTTTTGTTTGATAGAAATGACGAGAAACTACGTCTTTACCGGACACGTACGAGACTCAAACTGTGATAACTCGGAGATTTGTGGAATAAATTGACCGAACAAGCCCTGAACTTTCAGGTTTTCGTTCCCCGTGATATGCACTGTGACTTGATTGCGACGTGCTTTCTTTTGGTTCCCCAATATGCATGGTCTACGGCTACATTATTTATTTAATGTTTCATTTTCGTGAGAGATGATGTGCAAACTAGACTACAGTAGACAATAAGTGAAAGTATCCAACCATAATGTATGGACTTAGGTCAACGGATTTTTTTTTAAATACTGAAGTCCCAATTATTGCCTAATGCAGGTAAAAAAGCGGATAGATTATATCCCTACTCGGATAAAATAAAAATGGAAAAAGACAGCGTTCTAATAAACACGATAAATAAAATGTATAAAAAAAATTTTTATAGACCACGTTTTTCATGTGGACTCACAAGTAGAAAATAATTTTTCGGCAGCTACTGATCTCTGTTTGCTTTCATTCTCTTGGTCTTTTGTATTTCAGTTAAAATATTTTACAACATCTAAAACGAAAAACGTGGGGCGCATCTTCATTTAGGCATGCCTTAATTTCAATTTTGAATTCAACCACTATTTCGAATTACTTTATCACTATTCGTTACTCCATATACCTTTGATTTGATAGTGAGCTATTTAATGGTGAACTATTTAGATACTTAATGCATTTTCTTTTCAAATGCTTAATATGCCTCTTAAATTGATTAGATATAGTCCACGCGTTCATTTAAAATTCTCCAAATTTGATTCTTTTAAAATTTTTACATACCCTGAGTAGCGTTATTCATGATTCATATCTTTACTTGCTTGAATTACTTATACACATTTCAAACTACGTATATTGAATGAAACATCATAAATCAATATAACAACAGTAAATAACAAAATTTGCTCAAATCAGATATATCAGCAATACACTTATCAAATGTTCAATGAACCATCATATTCATCATATCAAGTAATCACCAAACAATTAAATACATATGCGCCCCCAACGAGAGCGCTAGCTAATGGGAAAGTTGGTGAAATATCGATTGCAAGATTTGATCATCACAGACACGAAAGCGAGCTAAGAAAAACGTGGTAAAATATGTATTTTTATCTATTAGTTCTAATAAACACGATAACTAATAGACACGATAAAAATATGAACCTCTCACACTGCGCGGTCCCATGCATTCATGTTTGATTGTTTGAATGTACGAAATATTACGTGGGAAATTGTAGGACTCGTCACACTGCGCAGATTCATATATTCATGTTTGAAAGTACGAAGCATTTAGTATGAAATTGTAGAACTCGTCACGTTGTGCTGTTTCATTCATCCATAATTGAGCGCGTGAAACGCTTCTTAGGACAGTGTCTAACATTCAACACTACTCAATTCCATCCTTTTTAGTTTAATGTAGCAAGTTTGAAGTTGTCTTCCGTCCAAGTTTGAAAGGCCTGGCTTAAAAATTCGTGTGTAAATGCCTCTAAACATTTTCATTGCAGATTTTAAAATGTCAAAGAATGCTGATGAGATGAAAAAGCTGAACCTTAAGGGGAGCGTCTACCCTAAAATTGAAAATTTTCACTTATTCGGTTTTTATACTCATTTTAAAGCTGACATTCTGCCCTATCCAACGGTACCAAGGTGCGATCATGAATTAGATTAACTACGCACACAAATGACGCAATAGTTTACGCACGACGGTATACCGAAAAATTAGATCACGCGCAAAATTATGAGAAGTCTTTGAATCAACTCTCCACTTGCACTCTTCCAGTTCTACACCAAGTACTTAATGTCCTGACGATTTGCAAGTCCGGAAATAATTTATTTTCGCAAATGTTTTTAAATCACAAGCGAGGCTTAGGTTTCGGAAGTTATTTCTCTTACTCATGCGAGTGCATTTGAACTATTTTAGTTCGAAGTGATGGTTCCATGAAACTAGTCACAATAAAATGAATCAGATTCAACTTCAAAAGTGTGCGAAAAACCTTTGAATCGTATTCGCTTGGGTACTAACGCTGGCACAGACAGATAGCTTCACCGGCGGAGGGATTAAAAAGGGTCTGGATTCTTGGCTTTAATCAACACTCAATCACAGTGCATCTGAAAATAATAACAGATAAAAGAATCAAAGTTTTAACTAAATAATATGATTAGAAATGAACAACATATCAAACAAAATCAATAAAAATTATTGGTCTCAATATGAGAGAATTTCTTATCTTAACGTAATTGATCACAAAATAATTTACGCATGTGGTTGGCCCTATATATATAGCTGAATCCTAAATGCTAAAGTTTTCCACTATTCCTCTATATACGCTCTAATTGCATGTAAGTATATCAATAGTATTCGAGAATGAATTTCATTACCCACATTGAGTGACGTCTTCGTGCAAATCCAGTGACAAAGTTAATGAACGTAAATTTGAATACACATAAAACAAACACGATAATACTCGAGTAATATTTCAAAGTAGTTAATTTGGAAAACTGAAACGGATATAACACCTTGTAACCTAGTCGTCACGTGTTCCAGTCCCACGAATAATGCACCTGCAAGATGTGGCTGCTTATTAAATGGTTCTCGGAGTGTTGCCATCAGGCGCATGAAGGAAAAATACAAAAAGGGAATTTATTAACGACGGAAGAGAAAAAGAAATCATGTTTCGTAGGACAGATGCTGTCCTGCATCGTTTTGCAGGATAGCATCTGTCCAGCATCTTTTTGCCTAATAAGTATCTTTTATGCAGGAATCTTCTGGATATTAGTGTAATTAGGCAGAAGTTCTTCATTTATACAGGTTTGATTGAAGACCAGAGCGTACTTTTTATTAACAATCTCCTTATTGTTTTTTTCGATGAGCCGAACGAATATTCTTGCAGGTGCTTGGAGTTCAAAAAGCAGATTACCAAATGACATTTTACTAGAATGCGACGTTTCGAATATACATATCAATATTCATTATCAAGCAAGTGAACAGTTATTACAACGCTAAAATTGAAATTTGTACATGACATAAGTTCATACAGAAAGTATCGTAGATACGGTTCAAAATCGAAAATCAAATTAATCCGAGAATAATTTCAACGTCCTGACGAATCCTGCGGTTTGCAAATTGATAGCAGGAGACTCGTCCTTAATGATGAGAGCCTCCGCTATCGACAGTCTCGTTGTGTCGGGGCACCGCATGACGAAGCTGGTGCAGGCCTCCAACGTGGCACGGGTGATGGTCTCGTTGTGGGCCTCCCGCATATGATTCTTTGGTCCCCCAGCTTGCAAATGGCATGTGAGTCTGCGACTCAATGTCGTGCTTGTCAAACCGATGTAATTTACATTTTGGAGAAGTCTACAACCTTCTTTCATGCAGGAAAATTTGTAAATGACATTGGTTTCCTGTAGCGGTCCGGACTTTTTACATGGATTGTTTTTCATGATTAAATTCTTGATCTTTTTGTTTCTGTACTAAATCATAAGTTGTATTCGGTCAGTTACTGTTGTGCAGCTGATGTTATTTCGCACAATTGAATTGAGGACTCGTTCATCAGTCCTATGACCATCGTTCATTTGATTTTGATTGTAAATTCTGATGACGCAACCTCTTGATGGGGAATCATCTGTTCGGTTTTGACGTGCTCTGATATTCGAAATTTCTTTGTCAATCGTTTTGTTTGCATAGCCGTTGTTGACAAGAATTTGTTTGCAGGTTCGGAGTTCAGTTTTTAAGTCACGACCAGAGGTACAGGTCTTGAACGCTCGATGTATGAAGGCGCGTATTGTGCTGATTTTGTAGCGCTGGGGACATTCGCTTTCTTGGTTCAGGACCTTTCCAACGTCTGAAGGTTTCCGATAAACTTTAGTGACGAACGAATTATTATCGTCTTGCACCAGGACGTCCAGAAAAGGCAACGTGCGATTTTGTCCAAATTCGTAAGTAAATGCCAAACGGAATTGCGTTCAAAAGCCGCGCGCAGCTCCATCATGTGAACTTCGTCTCGAACGATGACGAAGGTGTCGTCGACATTTCGACAGTAAAGGTCAGGTTTAATTTGTGAATCCAACAATACACGGTTTTCGAGTTCGCACATGTAGAATTCGGCAAATGTTGGACCAAGAGGACTGTCTATTGCTACACCGTTAATTTGCTGGTATATTTTGTTATCTGGGGTCCGAAAAGGCGTAATAAAAGTACGCTCTGGTCTTCAATCAAACCTGTATAAATGAATCTTCTGGAATAGATAAATACGTGTATTTTAGTGAACAAGAGAGGAAATGTAAAAATATACTTTCAAAATTTTTTGAATGAACAATTTTCTACATCGTGTGGCGATCACTCTTTTATGTGAAGCATTGGGATAAAAAATTTTATATCAGGACACACAATCCCAGAAATTTGGTGATGAATTCAAATCATGTTGACTTGTTATAGTAAACAATTTTGCGCCATTAGTGAACCCGCGCGTTCAAATCCCGGTTAATTTTCTGGTTAGCTTACGATTTAAGCGAACAAAAGTAATTTTAAAGTTTTCGTATATCAGACATGCAATTTAAATTTTTAGATGAACAGATTTATTTTAGTTAATGCATAAAAAAGCCTTGCAAGAAAAAGAACCTATTCCTAGTAATTAAGTTCTTCCACAATACGAAAATGAGGGGCTGTCTTGTGTATTAAAATAAGTTTCAAGGTCTAGGAACGTAGTTTGTGCTTTCAGACTCTCCTATGTTTTTCGCATTCTTCGCTAATTAGAACTTCATGTTTATCTAATGACCGTCATTATCACGTCTTGCTTATCACTTGCCCCGGCAGCGGGCCTGATCAAATCTCCTAATGAGCTTTGTTACCACACTTCTCTATAACTTCACTTCTTGTCGTTTGTTTGTCTGTCCGCTACAAATCTTATTATCGATAATTAACATACTTCTACCTGTCAAATCGATCTAAAAATTTTGCTCACTTGCGTAAAGTCGAAGACAATGCGTGACTCAATTGACAGAATAAAATAAGTAATTTAATCAATTAAATTTTTTGTATTATGTAAAATAAAATAAGAAATTCATTTTACACGTGTAACACCGGAGACACTGGCCTCTTTAGAAGTGTTGTCTTTAAAAAGTTATTTTTAAAAGCATATTATTTATATGATATTGACAGCAAAATTTCAAATTCTTAAAGCTTCATTTAAAGGATTGATTTTTTTAATACAAATAAGAATGATCCATTGGAGGTTTAAATGCGACGAAAAAAATAAATAGAATAACATACTTTGAAAGTCGATAAAAAGAATATAAGATTCTGATTCTACTCAGTGATTATGATTTACATGAACGATGTGATTTCACGACTTTGGTAAGAGGACCGAGTGCTACCAGCGTCTGAAAGTTCTCTGGGATTTGTGAACCCTTTCTCCCACATCCCCAAACACCATAATCTCTTAGATAATTTCCAAACAAAAGCAGTGTTAACTGCAGGGAGAGCCATTCCAGCCCACATTCGAATATAATTTACACCCACGGGTGGAAAATCACATATAAAATTTTCATTCGTCTCCCTCTTCCGATAAAACATTCAATGTTCATGATGGAATTAACGATGAACAATGTAATTCAATGCAAAGCATTGAATTACATTTTGATCTGACTGGTCTTGGGGATCCTCGAAAGGCTTCTATATACATTAACTGCATCAGACGGTCACAATCATATAATAAAATCATATAATAGGTATTCTAAATATTTTTATTTTGATTTTAGTAGCGCTATAGTGTAATGGAAATAATATGAAATAATAATAATAACGCCAAATAAAAATTTTTCTAGAGGTAAAAAGACCAGTTTTGATAAAGAGATAAAGACCAATTGAAACAAATTTGAAACTACGCATGTACAGCATTGGCTTTCGGAAAATGTTAAAAACGAAGTCATTCACACGAATGCATTCAAGAAGGCAATGTTGTAGACGTTTTTTCTTAATAATTTGATGATATTATAATATGTGACATTTTATTCTATAATAAATTAATTTTTTGGTACAAATTTAGGAAATCAGAGCAGAAAAAATGTTTCGTTTTCTCAGTCAAGCTTCATGAATGTTTTTAAAACTTACCTCACTCACATCTATGCTTTATTACTGCCTAATACTAAATCAGTCCTCTTTATTCATTAATTTGGACGTGCTATTTCCAAAGAACGAATTTCTAATGTTCTCTCAATACCATAGTAACATGTAAATTATATTGTTCATGATGCTGTTGTCGTCAAGGCGTTGGAGACGCCTAAAATTTTCGGCAGAATGCATTCAGTTTAACTCCTCTCAAAACTGCAGATATCAGAGGTGCCTAATGAAGGTTAAGATAGCGTGAGCACATCGGACTTTTCATTAGACAAAACTCTGGGGTAACTCAGCCAATTATAACCAGCAGCAATTATCAGTTTTGGAAGCTGCGTCTGCTGCACATGAAATATCAGGCAGGACACAAACCAAGAGCGATCATTTGCATTTCGGTCTTCTTCACTGCAGCCAAGGTAAAAAATCGAATGGAGTAAAAATTCATTATATCATTTGTATATGAATTTTCGAATATTTATAGCGATATTGAACATGACAATTGAGCTCCATGAACAGGGAACGTCATTCAAGAGGTTTTGAGTTTAAAGAATATCATTGAAAGTTTAAGACGCAGGTCTTGCATGATTTTTTTAATTTTGTCGAAAGTTCAGGCTCTGCTATGATTATATTTATATCTGTCTTTTTATATCACCGGCTTTCATATGCAAATGATTTAAATAAAATCCAAGTTAAGGTGAACCAATCTTAGCAAGTTCGTAAATGAATCATAATCATTTTGTATCTTGTGATTTATGCAAATCGTTCTTTGTATTTAAAGCTGAAATTATTTTGAGAAAAGTATAAATTATAAGTGTGGAGATCTCATATCTTCGTAACAAATATAATAACTTCATGGCAACTGGAGTAAGAGGCGTTAGATTGTAAAGCAAAATAGAATATAAGCGTCCTAATAATAAAATGGGGGATACAGTGCATTCAGTCATGTTTTTTTTCTTAACGTCAAGTAGCGCTGTTCAAAGATAAATTTGTATAAACTCATTTGTATACCAAGTTATACCGGTGACTGATTACTTGGACTTGTTTTTCGGGGAAATTTCACAAGTTTATCAAATTAAAAAAAATTTATTTTCCTACCAGGAGACCATTCAAAAATAAAATGTATAAAAAAAATTTTTAAAGACCACGTTTTTCATGTGGACTCAAAAGTAGAAAATAATTTTTCGGCAGCTACTGATCTCTGTTTGCTTTCATTCTCTTGGTCTTTTGTATTTCAATATACGCAGTCTAAACACGAATATCCTCTCGAGGATGACGTGCATTAAAGGTTCCAACCCCTGCTTGTGAGTTCCTTTAGAGTTTATACGCCTGGAAACGTGCAGCAAATTATTGATCATTGTATTGTTATCGGGAGCTGAGCTTCCCTAAAAGTTTCAGAGCGCTAGCTAGCGGGAAAGTTGGTGAAATATCGATTGCAAGATTTGATCATCACAGACACGAAAGCGAGCTAAGAAAAACGTGGTAATATGCAAAATTAGGAAATGCGGAAAAAATTCAATTTTGTTAGTTGAAACAGACCTATCAATAAGGTGCAGTACATATCGAGCAAAAAAAGCTATTTTGGTTGGTTACGAATACTTATGTTGCAATAATCGCAATGTTTTTCACTGAAGTAATTTTTCCCCTTTTTCGACTCATGGTTCCAGAGCAACATTTACTTCATCATAGCTTCCTACTGCCACCCCCAGCCGTACAAACGCACTGAACAAAAAGCCTTAAAAGTCGGTTGAATTGAACAAGTTCGCGAGGACCAACGCAGAATCAACGGCACCGCGATGAATGTAAGTTTTCAACGTTTGCTGATGTTCTGACATTAGCTGGAATTGCTTTATTTTAGGCTCGATAATTTTTGTCGGGTAGCATATTTTAGGTTAATAATTGTGAAAGCAACTATTTTCAATATTGAAAGAAATGGAATTTTTTAGCAATTTAATCTTTTTTTATTTATCTGCATCACCAGCGTAAAATATGGCTATGTGATTAAGTCCAAAGGCCTGATCTCGTATATTATTTTTAACACATTTTGTGTAGGATCTATAATCACTGGAAAATCGTTCAGCTAGTTCGCGGCTCAAAAACTAACATTCTTTCTAATAGCAATTTATACTTTTCATTTAAAATTATTCTTATTTGGCTAAAAGAATCCATGTTTAACTCATGGTTTTCTTTTCAGCTAAAGTTTTGTCGTTTCGGCGGGTGGCCGCAGCTCCTGATGGCGGTTCTGCTCTGCACGGCCGCAAGTGCTAATCCTACCAATAGCACCGGTGAGATTTTTATGTAATTGCAACTATTTAGCATGAAATCTGTCTCAGATCTCACAAATAATAATTCGAATTGAGGCAAAATGAACTCATACTTTTCCATCATTTACTTATTACGTACATGAGATGCCATACAAAACCGTTCTCACGACGCAGCTTTTACTGCGATTTACATTGCCGGGAAACTGCCGGTACATTCTCATAAAGTCAGTAACATTGTATTTTTTCATTTTCTGCAGACAATGTTGATTCGCACCTGATAAAATGGAAGTAAAATTTAATAACTCTAATGAAAAGGATGAGCTACAAGTATTCACATTTGATAAGAAGGATGGGTAGTAAAATTACGATTACGAGCCTTTTTCATCACCGAGTTTCCATGCACAGAGCCGTGCGATGAAGGCCAGTTCACGTGCGCCAACGGCCGCTGCATTCCTGGTCACTTCAGGTGTGACGACGACGACGACTGTCAAGATGGCAGCGATGAACTCGAGTGTATTCTACGTAAGTTTACAGCAACGATTCATTGTCTCCCAGTTAATAATTATTATGAAATTATTCTACAAAGTATTAAGAAAATAAAAAGAACTTATTAACGTTGAACTTTACATAACTTAGCCAGCGGTCCAATCCGATTGAACGAAATATTGGAATAGCTTCATCATTTTAATTCACCGTATTATTCCGAAACGATTTTATCAACCGCGCGAAAATTATTATTTTGAATTCGTTTTTATTTTCAACGTTTTGATATTAGCAAATGATAATACTAGGCTCAGTCCTAAGATACTTTATTTTAAATTTTCTTCGTGTGCTCTCGGAGAACTCATCTTTTTAAACGTGGAACTATCGACATAAATTAATTTCGACAGTGTGATTTTGAAACGAACTTTTCCGAGGTGGCTGATCAACGAGCGTATGTATACACGATGATTTGATACTGCTGATCAGCAACCAAATACACGATGCTTTTATACTGCTGATCAACGAACGTATACACGATGCTTATATACTGCTGATCAACAAGCGTATATATACGATGCTTATATACTGCTAATCATCAAGAAATATCAAGCTCGGATGTAAAAGAATTATGTTAGCAGTTAGCTGGTTGTGCGATAACAAGTTGAAGCTGTTTGAGAAGCATGTTAACATGTCGATTCCCGGAATAGTTATATCAAATCACAGATATCTGAATATCACGTTGTCAAATAGTCTTTTAGGTTATATATTAAATTATTCATGAAAAGTAATCCTAAAACGAGTTAACTGTTTAAACCCATTTTTAGCTAAGTACGAAATTAAAATTTTTAACTTGAAAAGCAATAAAATTTTAATTCTTTTTTACTTTTTATGTTATTTCAATGTTCAATCCTACCGTTAAAGAGTAATAATAACTTTCAATATTTTTTCCCATATTACTTACTCTTTAACTAGCTTAGGGAATTTTAAAATAAAATAAACGAATAATAAGAATAGCGAAGCTTGTAAATCATTAAAAAATCTCATTATCCAACAGCGGGCCAGAACTGCAAAATAAGTGAATTCGAGTGCGAAAACAGCAAGTGCATCAGGAAAGGGTTCGTCTGTGACTTTGACGATGACTGTGGAGACGGCAGTGATGAGCGCAACTGCCCCGATGGTTAGTGGTACTTTATTATGAGGTTTTGATAAAGCATTTTTATTGAGATAAGGTGCGGTGGCTTACCTGCTACTGTTTACGGTCACGACACTATATAACTATAGGTACGCTAGTGCGAAAACGGACAGCTATGCTGCACGAAAGTGCATAGATTAACATCTTCCTGAAAATAGATTTGTGCAAATAAAATGGTTACATTTACGTTTTATTCCGTTGTGTTATATATCAATGGACTCTTAAAGACAAATGGAATCCAAATAACCCTTAAGAATAATTTGAAAACATGTTTAATTTTAGATTTTTGAGATGATTGTCAGTCAATTTAAATATCAGTCCCGTGCGGGGAGGACGAGTTCCGATGCGCCAACAGACGTTGCCTCCCGACGCGCTTCACGTGCGACGGCGACGACGACTGCCGTGATGGCAGCGATGAACTTGACTGCATTCTTCGTAAGTCTCACTTTACTGTTTCTTTTTCTTGTCCCCGTAATTAGTACCGCATATTGATTCTGAACTATGTAGGAGGAAATGAACAGATCTAAAGGAAGTGTATATAAACTGTCCGATGTATGTTGTATAATCACCAACAAAATGGTTGCATAACAATACTTTAATTTTATCATAGTTATTCCCTTGGTGTGGCAGTTGAAGTTAACGTTTAGAATTTATAACCCACACTTTTATATGTGTTTCATCACGCCATTAAATTGAATGCGCCATTTAATTTTGGAGATTCGATGTATATTTGGGCTCAGTGGTTAAAGTTCAGAGTCCCAGGATTGGAGCAGAAAGGCGAGGGTTCAAACCCAGCTCTGTGCGCCAGTTTCTGGTCAGAATCGGCAAGGAGGCCGGGCGGTTAAGCACAGCAGAATTGGAGCAGTGAGCTGCGAGTTCGAGACTGCAAAATGCTGTGAATGTTCTGCGATGTTAAGAATCGGCGACAGGCCTACGGCCTAATAAACGCTGAAACCGCTATATTATATAATGTACGTGTTTCCTTCAGCTGGCAATATCTGCACCATCAAACAGTTTGAGTGCAAGAATGGCGATTGCATCAAGACTCGCTACCGCTGTGACGGCGATAACGATTGTGGAGATTCGAGCGACGAGGAAAACTGTGCCGATTGTGAGTCAAGTTATGCTGCGCATTTCTGCGGTGCAAGCAAAAGCTGCATTTGTTGATGATATGGAACCTAGGATATTTTCTTTCCAATTTTATCTCATGGTGCATTATTTTTAGTTTCGATGATAACTGCTAAATTTTATCTAAAGTACCAACTTTTCCTGGTTGTGAAATTGAAAATGACAGATATCCGCTGATTTAAAACAAGAAATTAATAATAAATATATTAACGTATTATTGTTATCAAAAGTCAACTTCGTGAATTCAGACTAATTTTATACGAGTATAATTCGTGAAGGTAAAAAATTTTGGACTTTAAATTTATACTTCAAATCCAAATTAGTTTTAATTAAATTTTATTTAATTTTTAGTTTAAAAATGTAACAAAAAGTTACTCTAAGTTGTCCTCAAGATCCAAGAAGTGACACAGATCCACACAAAGCATACAAATAAGTCCTCAATTTTCGAAATTCCACGCATTCAGTTCTTCATATTTCGCTCTGCAATTTGACCCTCACTGAGGAAGTGTCCAGTAACACGACTCTGATAATAACTGTGCTCATAAAAGCTCAGAGCGCCGCCATGGCCAACTGGCGTTACGCCGACAACTGCGAGTAAGAGAGCGATGAAAAAATTGCACTTCATGTGTTAAATAAAAGTGGCTGAAAGCAGCATAAAGTGTGTGTACTGTGATGGTTTTATATGCAATTAAGTTCGACCAATTTAATAAACACATTTAATACATCTGGAAAGCTGGCCACGAAAGATATAAAATGCCGACAAGAACATGAATTTATGTAAACATTGATCCAATGACTTTAAAGTGAGATTAGAGTTTTAATTATTTCGACTGAATAGTTTTTTTATAAGTCAGGCAGTTGAATCACCTTCGCATTTTACTCTAAACAATTATGTTAATTTAATTTCTGAAGTTATAAAATGTTGTGTGGAACTTATGAGCGATCAATTTATGATGCCTTACTATCCCTGCCTCAGTCCAGTGCGGCGAAGACAGGTTCAAGTGCGCCAACCATCGCTGCATCAACGCGCGTTTCAGGTGCGACGGCGACGACGACTGCCACGATGGCAGCGACGAACTTGACTGCACCCTTCGTGAGTTTTGCTTTACGGATTTTATCTCGTACCCGTAAACTTTCTCCGTATGTTAATTCAAAGCCCCAGAATCAAGTGAAGAATATAAAGCGTGTTTGTTTTAATCGATGTGCTTAGGTTGGTGTAGTTGTGAATTTGGATTGAACTGTAGGTACTTTACATTATACTTCAATCCTCACCCATACTCATATCAGCCCTGATTGGTTCCTCATTTCTTTTAGGCTGTGGAAATCTTCTAGACCTCTTTAGACCTTATACTAGCCATTTTCTAAACGCTACCTATTTGTAAGGTTATTTCTTTTAGGCTCTGAAAATCTTCTAGACCTCTTTAGACCTTATACTAGCCACCTTCTAGACGCCACCTATTTCTAAGTAGGACCGACGCCACCAGAACCAAAATTTCCTTATTCACTTTTCACTCTTTAAAATTTAAAGAAAACGATGTACATACAACTCATTTTATCTATTATTGCAATATGTATCATAGCCCGCTTCTGGTTATAACAAATAATACTAAATATTTTGGAGATTTTATTCAAGTTTTTTTTTTATTTTTCATTAAACAATGTTTGAATGAGTCATCTCGAGATTCTGATTTTATATATGTGGCGTGTTTTGTAGCTTCCTGCCTGGTTGTAGGAGTAAAAGTTAGCACTAAATTATCTGATTGACAACTTTTGGTGCAAATTGCCTCTCAAATTATCGAAAAACCTTATACCTTATACACTCATTATTAGTGTAGATTAGGAATAGAAAATGTATCAATTCGAGGTTTCGATCTTTGTAAACTGAATTGGTTTGGAATTTGACATGAAAATTGTCGTGGGTACACGACGGGTACACGGAGACATGACTTCCGTATTTCCTTCAGCTGGCAGTGCCTGCATGATAACTCAGTTTGAGTGCAAGAATGGCAACTGCATCAAACCCAGCTTCGTCTGTGACGGCGATAACGACTGTAACGATATGAGTGACGAGGAAAACTGTCCCGAAAGTGAGTATCAGTGCATTACGATATGGCAACAAATTTCTACAGAGTCAGATCTGAAACTCCCAAACATGCCGGAACATAGGATTATTTACGTTAATTTCAATAAAAATGTGCATTGTTTCTGTTTATGGTAGTATGGAGAGTACGAGTACTTATTTGCCAAAATTGTCTCGGAAAAACAGAAATTACAGATATATGAACAATTTGTGAGAAAACTCGCAAGATTTCGCGTCATATTGGGAACAAATTTTTTGAGAAAGTATAGATTAATATGAAAATATTATCCAGTACTGGATAAAATCTAGATCTAGCTAAAGACAAGGTATATTCATTCTAATTCGGATGATGAAGTGTTTGTGGGAAAAAGCTTGATTTTGTTTCCATTTTGAGGTAACTTATTATGAACATTGAGTACAGTGTGAACTACTTATGTATCTTAAACAAATTCTTCTAGAAGTTGAGATATTTTCATGCTCTCATTTTATAATAAACTATGACTAACCCACATATGCTTCCTTGCAGGTTGAGGCGTCTGGTCCAGGTTCTCCAGCTCTCATCCGGCAATACTGTTTTACTGACGCACATTGGACAACGACCAACATGCAATACAAATAAAATATAACTCCTACATGCCACTACACATGCTTCTATAAAGTGATATCATAAAACTTTCATCACTGTATTGTTATCAGCTTCAAGTTACTTGTTTATAATTTCATTTATACTTTCCAACCATCATCAAGAAGGTAGAAGGTTTTTGAGTTCAAAATAAGCTCATTAAGCTGCCGATGCAGCTGATGGTGGTCATTGATTCTGATTGCTCGCCGCATCTTGAAAGGATCTCAGAGCAAACCGATTAAATTCAGATCTATGTTTCATCGGTAGTTACTGTAATAGAATAAATCATTGCAAGTATTCAGCATTGTCCGTTAAATTATCAGCTGCAATCTTCTTTTTTTTCAATGAAATTTCAGGAGCCAAATAAATTAGTAACTATTATTATTATTATGTGGCATATTATTAATTGATTATTATTATTATTATTAGATTATTAATTTCATTGAATTTCTATTTGGCATATATTAATACATCTTTATTCTTTAGCAAGTATGCATACACTTTTAATATGTTGCTTCCATACAGACAAATTTGCTTATATTGTGTAATTTTTAACCTATCTTCACTTAATGCATACTAATAGCTGAAAATAAAAACGAATCGTATGAAAAGAGCCTCAGGTTCATCAGGAAAAAATGAAGCAGTCAAAACAAAAGCGCAATTAAACGGTTATAAGAGGAGAGATAACAAATATTAAAACAAATACAGCGTCTTGCATAAAACTCTGCAAAAATTATTTCGGGGAGCAAATGTTTCATGAAACTAGAAGAATGGACCAGATGCGCGGGAATATGACTACGAAGTCAGGGTCAGAAATGAGCTCAATAAACAAGTTTTTAAAATATGCTTGTTAAATGAAAGATAGATGAAAGAAGAATCTTTTCTTTTCATTGTATCGTAATGGATGCGTAGCTTAGTAGAACTTTACATAATTTAAAAGTTTTAAGAAATTTCTGATAATGAAAGCAAATAACTCTGAAAATTTTGTTATTCTCGGAGGCACATAAAATTACTAAACAAATGTGGTAGTTTCTAATAGTAGGAAAGGTTCCTGACATGTAGTGGGGGAATAAGTTTGAAATTCGACTGATATCATTAACAAGGCGAGACCTCTTCCTTTCTTCGCAGTTCAAATCAGCACAATCAAATAAAATTGAATAGATTATTTATTCACCACAGATTTGTACATCACGCGAAATATAATGTTTCACCGCTCTTGTCTAAACTTTCACTATAAGGAAATTCATGGCCAGTAAAAGTGAAATTTCGAAAGTACGATTGCTTTCAGAAATGAAACACAAGTTAAGCAAGTTCAGTCATTGTATCACATGATGAATTAGGAAAGGCGAAAAAATGCAAAAATTTATTATGAAATAATGTTGGAATCAAAATTTGTTTCAGGACAAGTGAAGGTTTTACAGCAACAAATCAAATGGTGTAGATTCTCAGTTTGAACTCGTAGATTTATAAGTAGAAATTATGTAGACATCTTCAAAAGACTTCAAATATATCGCCTTATATCATTAGTTGTTCAATTTTTTATTATGTCGGAATTATCTTCATGAAATTCATACTTCATTTGTGCATGGGCCCGTAGTAATATAAACCACTCCTAAAATACTTTACGAAACCCGGTTAGTTGAATATCCGCATTTTTGCCCAAATATCATATTATCGCCCGAATTAATATCAAATTAATAATTAATATCACTAATGATATCAAAGTATATATTAAATTCAAAGAAACGAGAGAGAAGAGAAGGTGACTAAATGTGTTAGTGGCAATACAAGACTATAGATAAGAAAAATTTGTTACATGCATGAGACATTAGTTATTTTTTCAATAATGCTCTAAATACAACCATTTGTACTCAGTTTGAGTTGGTCACTATCCTTTCTTGTCACTTGGCTTTCTAACGGGCTAAGTTGAAGGTACAAATGAGCTAAGTTGAAGCTGTTAATAAGCATTGCTGATATGATATAGAACTGCAAAGACTGACATATCTTTGGCTTAATTGTAATTAACAAAATTTTGACGAACTTATATTTACAATATTTGACAGGCTCCATAGCAAATTCGCTTGATCTCGGAAGATTTTTCGACGGAATATTTGAGGATCAGAGTAAAAATGTTTCTGGAAAGGCGATTCCGAGATAATAAATGCCATTAGCCACTATTAAGGCCTATAAGACATTGACAACGAATCTGGCCCTTAATAACTAAATTTTTTGTGGGTCATCAGCGAAAGTCTTGCAGCAGCGGATGTTTTCTGCAGCAGCGGATGTTTCCTGCAGCAGCGGATTCAGCAGCTGCCATATCAGGCAGGTGTCTTGCAAGGAGCGAACATTTGCACTCTGGACTTTCTTAACAGCAGCCAAGGTAAATTCTTAACTTACTAAATATAAGAATATTTACACTGGTAAAATTTGTTTTTGATGTTGTAAATGCTATTACACCATTTACTCACCGCTTTTTAGCGCATTTTCTCTTTATGGAAAAAATACACTATTGTGCTCGCATGTCCGTCCGTCTGTCTGTCTGTCCGTCCGTGACTTCACGTTTTCGTCGACGAGAAAATGCGCTCTCTGTCACTCACTGCAGTGAGTACTGAATTATATTTTTGTTTATATCCTAGTCGTATTTTCTGTAGGTATAACGATGTACTCGTATCATCTGCATCATGTGACCAAAGCAAAATATTTTGGTTAGTTTATGGTTGATGGAAATGCATAATTATTAAGAATCTCAGAAGTTCTTTTATTGTTTTTGCAACACTGCTTATCAATTTCCGTACTTGCTTTATCTCTTTATAAAATCAGTAATGACTTCATACTGTGGTTTAACATCTGAAAAAAAAAATATCCACGTACAGAAACTTCCATTGCCTGGAGCTGAGCATGAAGGTCGATTGTTCAATGGCAAAATTTCGCTGCTAAATGAACTTTTCCAGTTGACGGAAATAGTAAAAAATTTAGCATGTGGTTAAAAATTTCTCTATTTATGTCAGACACACGCGTAATCTTCAAATCAAATTTTTTTAGTTTATATATTAATTTACGAATTCATTAAACTTAGTTGATGAATTCTCTACACGCAAACCATATTATAAACAGAGACTATATTTAGCTCTAGCTTACAAACGACAGTAATTTACCAACAAGTTTTTTTACCAAAATACAATTGGACAAAAATAATTAGGTTATTTTAGCTCGAATCATGATGAAGTCATTGAACTGGAATTTATCTTGAATCTTGATTAAGAATTTTTTTCTTGGCCTTAATGAATTTTTAGGAGACACTGATTGACATTTCTTTCGAGTTTGATAGTCATTATGCCTTTTTTCAATATAAATGAAATTTTTTTTTCGTTGCAGATATTAGAGGAGCCTAATGACGGTTAAGATAGCGCTAGCACATCGGACTTTTCGTTCGACAAAACTCTGGGGTAACTCGGGCAATTATAACCAGCAGCAATTATCGGTTTAGGAGGCTGCGTCTGCAGCACACGAAATATCAGGCAGGACACAAGCCAAGAGTATCGTTTTATGTATCATTTTTATGCAGACATTGGGATTTTGGTCTTTTAACTTGAGTCAAGGTAAAAAAAAACAGACGGGAGTAAAAATTCATGATATCATTTGTATTTCAATTTGCAAATATTTAAAGCGAAATTTAACTGGAAAATTAAGCTTCATGAACAAAGAACATCATTCGAGAGGTTGTGAGTCTGAAGAATATCGCTGAAAGTTTAAGACGAAGACCTCAGGGTTCCGGAGCTACACATCGACTCATGGTTCCAGAGTAACATTTAAGTCATCATAGCTTCTCACTGTCAAACCCAGCCGTACAAACGCACTGAACGAATGGCCATAAAGTCAGTTGAATTGAACAAGTTCGTGAGGCCCAACGTAGAATCAACGGCACCGCGATGAATGTAAGTTTTCAACGTTTGCTGATTTTCTGACATTAGCTGGAATTGCTTTATTCTAGGGTCTTTAATTTTTATCAGATCGCACTTTTAGGTTGATAATTTGAGAGCCTTATTTTCAATACTAAAAGAAATGGAATTTTATCGAAGTGATTCAGTTCCCTAGCCTGGTCTCGTATGTTCCTTTTAACCAACTTAATAGTGTATGATCTATAATCACTGAAAATCGTTCTTAGTGTTATTTTGCGGCTCAAAAACTAAGATTCTTCCTAATACCAATTTTTATTTTTCGTTAAGTATTATTCTTATTTGGCTAAAAGAATCCATGTTTACCTTATGTCTTTCATTTCACCCGAAGTTTTGTCGTTTCGGCGGGTGGCCGCAGCTCCTGATGGCGGTTCTGCTCTGCACGGCCGCAAGTGCCAATCCTACCGATAGCACCGGTGAGAATTTTATGTAATTGCAAGTATTTAGCATGAAATCTATCTCAAATCTCACAAAATGTATCGAATTAAGGTAAACAGAGCTCGTGCTTTTCCCTCATTTACATACTACCAACACGAGATGCCACACAAAACCATGTTCACGATGCATTTTTTGCTGCGATTTCCATTGCTGCGAATCGGTTCGCTTCCTCGAATGTTTTTACACACAAGAAAAGTTCGACAATTCCATATCATTCTTTCTTTATCCATTGCGTGCATATTGTTTTCATTAGAGATAAATATGCCGTGTAAGTCTCGATCACAAAATGAAACGAATTCCGCCTTTATTTCACATGAACCAGTTTTAGTAATCGCTTTGTTCTTCATTATAATCTTGACACTCGAAGAAAACTTAATAAGCTTGTTTTTTCACTAGATTCTTTTCAAATATCCTACAGTAATATGTAAACAAATTAAAATCACTTGTTTGCTTAAATCGCAGATATGGTGAATTTTTGTGGTATTGTTTTTGCTTTTAAATTCCTAGTAAGCAAATTATATGCGATCTTCGGCATTGTCTGATGAAGTCGTTTACAATTAATTCATTAATGCAAATAATCAGTTTCAGTATCAATATTATGTCAAAATACCAGCCAGTATCTACTCAATGAGTCAATAATGTTTCATTTTCTCATTTTTATGCAGACAACTTTGATTCGCACCTGATGAATTTGAAGGAAAATTTATTGACTTTATTTAAACGAATTATTTACATTTATTCAAATTTTTAAAAGAAGGAAGGGCAGTGAAATTACGAGCCTAATTCATCACCGAGTTTCTGTGCACAGAGCCGTGCGCAGAAGGCCAGTTCGAGTGCGCCAACGGCCGCTGCATTCCCATGGACTACAAGTGCGACGACGACGACGACTGTCTCGATGGCAGCGATGAACTCGAGTGTATTGGACGTAAGTTTACTGTAACGATTCATTGTCTTTCTGCCTATACTTAATATGAATTTGTTCTACGATGTATTGAAAAACACATGAAGCCATTATTGACGTTGAACTTTGCATAACTAAGCAATCGGTCCAATTCGATTTAAAGAAATGGCGGAATAGCTTCCTTATTTTAATTCACCGTACTATTCCAAAACGATATTATCGAACGCTCAAAAATAGTTATTCTGAATCAGTCTTTTTTCAACGTTATAATATTAGCAAACTATAATACTAGGCTCAGTCGTAAGAGACTTCATTATACATTTCTTTTGGTTGTGTAACAGAACTCAATTTTTCAACGTGAAACTATCTATATTACTTAGTTTCAGGAGTAGGATTTTGAAACGAACTTATCCGAGTTGGCTTAGTAAGCGTATACACGATGCTCCTATACTGCTGATCAACAAGAAATACCAAAGTGAGCGTATACACGATGCTTCTATACTGTTAAATATAACTGGACTTCACAAGACAAAATGGAATCCATGCAACTCTTGAGAACTATTCGAAAGAACCTTTTATGTTAGATTTTCGTGATGATTGTCAGTCAATTAAAATATCAGTCCCGTGCGGGGAGAACGAGTTCCGATGTGCCAACTATCGCTGCATCCCGACGCGCCTCAGGTGCGACGGCGACGACGACTGCCGTGATGGCAGCGACGAGCTTAACTGCACCCTTCGTAAGTCTCACTTTACTGATTTTTTCTTGTTCCCGTAATTATTGCCGTATATTGATTCGAAACTATAGGAGGAAATGAAAAGATTTAGAGGAAGTGTATATAATCTGTCCGATGTATATTGTAAAATCACCAGGACAATGGTTGTATACGAATATTTTGAAATTATTATACATATTCCCTTGGCGTGGTAGTGAAAGTTGACGTTTAACCGACAATTTTAAATATGGTTCCCCACGCTGATGCATCTGATTTAATTGAAAATTGAATGCTGATGCATCTGATTTAATTTAAGTGTGTTTGAAAAGGGCTAAAAAATCTATGACTTGAATTAGATTTGGACTTGAAAATGGTGTTGAAATAAATTATCGCGAATGCAGTAAACGGAGACATGATATATATTTATATACTGTACGTGTTTCCTTCAGCTGGCAATGTCTGCACTATCAATCAGTTTCAGTGCAAGAATGGCAACTGCATCAAGGCTCTCTACCGCTGTGACAACGAAAATGATTGTCAGGATTCGAGCGATGAGGAAAACTGTGCCGATGGTGAGTCAATATATGCTGCACATTTCTGTGGTGCAATATATGCTGCACATTTCTGTGGTGCAATATATGCTGCACATTTCTGTGGTGCGAGCAGAAGCTGGATTTGTTGAGAGTACAGAACCGAGGATGATTTCTTTTTAATTTTCGCATATGGTGCATTATATTTAGTTTCGATGAAGCGAAGATGAACCAATAAATTCTATCTAAAGTACCACGATTCCCCATTGTGGAAGCGGAAATGACAGATATGCACTGATTTAAAATTTTAAATTAGTGATAAAAATATTAGCGTGATTATATTAATAACATTAGGCATCCAGAAATAAAACCATTTTTAGCGAGCACAATTCGTGGAGGTAGAATTTTTTGGACTCTGGTAAGTACTCGTGAAAGCTCTGAGGGCGGCAATGATCAACAAGCGTTACACCGAAAACTGCAGTAATCAAGTAATGAACAAAATTGCACTCCATGTGTTCAATATAAACAGCGGCTGAAAGCAGCATAAAGTGTGTGTATTGTGATAGTTTTATAGACAATAATGCTCGATCAATTTAATAAATACATAATATACATCTGGACAGTGTGCCACGGGAAATTTAAAAAGCCGACAATAATATGAATTTTTATGATAAGTGATCCATGATTCTAAATGGAGATTAGAACTTTAATTACTTCACATGAATAGTTCATAAGTCACGCACTGTGAATCAATTTTGCATTTTACTCTAAAAAACTTTGCTAATTCAATTCCTGAAGTTATTAAGGGCAGTATGGATCCCATACCAGATGAATTTATAATGTCGTGCTATCCCTGACTCAGTCCCGTGCGGCGAAGACAAGTTTAAGTGCGCCAACCATCGCTGCATCAGCGCGCGCTACAGGTGCGACGGCGACGACGACTGCCGTGATGGAAGCGATGAACTTGACTGCACCCTCCGTGAGTCTCGGTTCACGGATTTTTCTCTAGTCCCCGCATAATTCCTTATATTAATTCAAAACTATATGGGGAAATGGATAGATTTAGAGGAATTGAATGTAATCTGTCCAATGTATATTTTATAATCAGCAAGACAATGGTTTCATACGAATATTTAGATTTAGTCATTGTTATTCCCTTGGTGTGGCAGTGATAGTAAACGTTTACAATATAACGACAATTTTGAATATGTTTCAGCACGCCATTAAATTAAATGCTGATTGCACCTGAATAATATTAAGTGTGTTTGAGACAGTGAGTTAAAAAAGTGAGTTAAATTAGATTCCGACTTAAAAATGGTGGATGAAATAAATTGCCGCGAATGCAGTACGCGGATACATGATATATATTTATATACTGTACGTGTTTCCTTCAGCTGGCAATGTCTGCACTATCAATCAGTTTCAGTGCAAGAATGGCATCTGCATCAAGGCTCTCTACCGCNTATGCTGCACATTTCTGTGGTGCAAGGTATGCTGCACATTTCTGTGGTGCAAGGTATGCTGCACATTTGTGTGGTGCAAGGTATGCTGCACATTTGTGTGGTGCAAGCAGAAGCTGGATTTGTCTAAGATAATGAGCATGGATTCAATTTCTTTCTAATATCATCACATGGTGCATTAAATATAGTTAGGCTGATGCGAAGATAAACTGGCAAATTCTATCTAAAGAAACACGATTTGCAGGTTGTGGAATTGTGGAAAGCAGAAATGACTGATACCCGCTGATGTAAAATCTAAAATTAATAATAAAAACATTAGCATAATAATATTAATGGCATTTCACATCGAGAATTCAAAAGATTTTTAATTTTGCGAGTATAATTCGTGAAGGTAAAAATTTTTGGACTTGGTTTTAAAATTTACTTGTCATTTCTCGAAGCTGTTCTCAAGACCAAAAAAGTGAAAAGACCCACCCAAAGCATACAAATCAAATCCGAAATACTATGCATTCAATTTCTCACATTTCACTCCACAATTCGACCCTCAGTGAGGCAGTCTCAGTAGCACGACCCCGGTAAGTACTCGTGAAAGCTCTGAGCGCCGGCATGAGTAGCAGGCGTTATGCCCACACTGCGGTAAGCAAACCATGAACAAAATTGCACTTCATCTGTTAAATAACAGTGGCGGAACGAAGTACAAAGTCTGCGTACTGTGATGATTTGATATAGCTACTATAATGCTCGATCAATTTTATAAATACATTATATACATCTGGAAAGTGTACCACGGAAGACATAAAAAGCCGACAATAATACAATAATATGAATATATAAAAATTAATCCAATGACTGATGAGATTTAAATTGATATTGGATTTTTAATTAGTTAAACTGAATAGTTATTTTTATACGTCAGGCACTGTAACTCACCTTCGCATTTTACTCTAAAGAACTTTCATAATTTAATTCCTGAAGTTATGAAATGCAGTGTGGAACTTTTGAAAGATAAATTTATGATTCCGTGGTATCCCTGACTCAGTCCCGTGCGGCGAAGGCAAGTTCAAGTGCGCCAACCATCGCTGCATCAAAGGGCGCTACAGGTGCGACGGCGACAACGATTGCCTTGATGGAAGCGATGAACTTAACTGCACCCTTGGTAAATTTCACTTAGCTGATTTTTTCTTGTCCTCGTAATTATTTCCGTATGTTGATTCGAAACTATTGGAGGAAATAAATAGATTTAAAGGAAGTGTATATAATCTGTCCAATGCGTATTGTATGATACCAAGATAATGGTTGCATACGAATATTTTGATTTTATCTTAGTGATTCCCTTGGTGTGGCAGTATAAGTTAACGTTTCCAATTTTTAATCCACAATTTTAACATGTTTCATCACGCCATTAAATTGAATGCTGATACACCTGAATTAATTTAAGTGTTTTGAGATAGGCATGAAAAATTCTATCAGTTAAATTAGATTCCGATATGAAAATGGTGTTGAAATACATTGGCGGGAATGCAGTTCATGGAGACATGATATATATTTATATATTGTACGTGTTTCCTTCAGCTGGCATTTTCTGCACTATCAATCATTTTGGGTGCAAGAATAGCACCTGCACCAAAGCTCTCTACGTCTGTCGATAATAATATGAATTTCTGTAAAAATTTATCTAATGACTCTAAAGTGAGATTAGAACTTTAAATACTTCAACTAAATATTTATTTTCATAAGTCACGCGCTGTAAATTACCTTTGCAATATACTCTAAACAACTTTGTTAATTTAATTTCTGAAGCTATAAAAAGCGGTGCTGAACTTATGAAAGATGAATTTATTATGCCGTGCTATCCCTGACACAGTCCAGTGCGGCGAAGACAAGTTTAAGTGCGCCAACCATCGCTGCATCAGCGCGCGCTACAGGTGCGACGGCGACAACGACTGCCGTGATGGCAGCGATGAACTTGACTGCACCCTACGTAAGCCTCATTTTACGGATTTTATCTCGTCCCCCGTAAACTCTTCCAGTAATTGATTTTCAAATGAAGGATTTTGAAAAAAGCGTGTTTAATTTAATCGATGGGCTTAGCGTAGTATAGTTGTGAATTCGGGTAGATATGTTGATACTTTACGTTACTTCAATCCTCACCATACTCATACAAGCCCTGATTGCTTCCTCATCTCTTTTAGGCTTTGAAAATCTTCTAGACCCCTTTAGGCCTTTCGCTAGCCACCCTCTAGCTGCCACCTATTTCTAAGTAGGACATACGCCACCAGAACATAATTTTATTATTTACTTTTTGCTCCTTAAAATTTAAAGGAAATGATGTACATACAACTCATTTTTTCTATCACTACAATATCTTTCATTGCCCGTTTCTTGTTAGAAAAAAAAGGATGCCAAATATTATGGAGATTTTATTCATTTTTTTTCATTTAACAATGTTTGAATATGTTATCTCGAGATTCTGATTTTATACTTGTGTCATGTTTTGTAGCTTACTGCCTCGTTGTGAGAGTGAACGTTTGCACTAAAATTTTCTGATCGACCACTTTCAGTGCAAATTACTTTTCAAATTATTTAAAAACTTCGTAGACAACAATTTTACAGTGAATTAAGAATATAAAATGTATCAATTCGAGGTTTCGATATTTGTAAACTGAATTGTTTTTAAATTTGATATGAAAACTGTTGTGAAATAATTGATCGAAATGGCAGTACACGGGTTTACGGAGACATGACTTCCGTATTTCCTTCAGCTGGCAGTGCCTGCATGATAACTCAGTTTGAGTGCAAGAATGGCAACTGCATCAGAGCCAGCTACGTCTGTGACGGCGATAACGACTGCAGCGATATGAGTGACGAGGAAAACTGTCCCGAAAGTGAGTATCAGTGCATTATGATATGTCAACAAATTTCTTCGGGGTAAGTACTGGAACTGTCCCACATGGTGGAACATTGGATAATATACGTTAATTTATTTAAAAGTTCACAGTGTTTCTGTTTATGGTAGCATGGAGAATACGCGTATACTTACCACGATTGTAATGAAAAACCAAATTTACAGATATACGAATTATTTGTGAATAAACGCGTAAGTTATCACAAATTTCTTGAGCAAGTACAATTTAATATGACAGTATTTCCGGTATTGGATAAAAAATTTAGATCTCGATACGTTTATGTTAGAAACAAGCCATAGACATTCTGATTCGTGTCAGAAAATGCTTGTGTTATAAGCTTTAAATTTATTCCTATACATGAGAAGAATTATCCGTTGAAGTAAAATAAACATTGAGTACAATGAGAACTACTTATGTATCGTAACAAATTTATCTGTGTATGTTTTGATAGAAAATTTCAAACTCTTGAGTATCGTCGACGAACAAATTAAATTGAAAATAAATTCAAATAATAAAGGTCAACGTGCAATCAAAATCAAACCTCCGATGATGCATGTTTTGGGTGGGCAGATTGGAGTGGAATCCAAAAATAAATTTGGTAAAACTCTTGAAACTTTCTAACGATTTGAACTCACTCAAATTACGAGTTGGGGAAATTCAAGTGCGCATTGATAACTTCTTCTAAAGGTTAAGATATTTTCATGCTATTAATTTATAATAAACTATTACAAATCCACATGCTTCCTTGCAGGTTGAGGCGTCTGGTCCAGGTTCTCCAGCTCTCATCCGGTTATACTGTTTCATTGACGCACATTTGACAACGACCAACATGCAATACAAATAAACATACTCCTACATCCCGCTTCTATACAGTGCTTTCATAAAACTTTCATCACTGTACTGTTATCAGCTTCAACACTGTTAGAAAAATGACCGTTAACGGTATTACCGGTGTTTCAGCGGCCGGTCGGCACGTGAAAAGAAACACCGTTTCATCGTTTTTATTCCAATTTAACACCCGAAACCCGTAAAACATCTGATAAAAACGGCGAAAGTTTATTTCCATGGGGCGACCGGCCATGGTAGGATGCCGGTGGGACCGTTTTTTCACCGTTTTTTCTAACAGTGAAGTTACTTGTTTTTAAATTCACCTAAACTTTCCAACCATCATCAAGAAGTTAGAAGGTTTTTGAGTTCAAATAAGCTCATTTAGCTGCCGATGCAGCTAATGGCGGTCATTGATTCTGATTGGTCGTCGAATATTGAAATGATCTCAGAGCAAATGGGATTGAATTCAGATCTAATGTTTCATCTGTAGTTACTGTAATGGAATAAATCATTGCAAGTATTCAACATTGTCCGTTATATTATCAACTGCATTCTTAAATTTTTTCAGTGAAATTTCAAGATCTAAATAAATTAGGTACTCGTACAATGAGTATCAGCTAACACTCCTAATCTGCAGAAGATATCAGCAAATTTTTTATGCAAATAATTATTCATTTATTTTAATTTATGTCTGGTATAAATTAAAACATCTTCATTTTTTAGCAAGTAAGCACACACGTTCGATATGTTGCTTCCATACAGACCAATTCGCTTCGTTTGTGTAATTTTTAACCAATAATGCATATACATATATCAGCTCACGAGATCAAAAAATATTATTATCGGTTTACTATTTAGTGATAGACAATCATTTTTGGACTGCTTTTAAATGTTCATTCGAGGATATATTCATTATAACAAAAAGTTTTGCAGACGAATAACAAATCCTAATAAGAATTGAGATAACTGCGAATAGCGAATGAAAAAATGAGATGACATAATTGCCTCCCATAGCGTACAACATATTGCAGTTGACAAAATAACCTCGCAGTATATAACGTCCTTACTGATGAAACTTTGGTGTTACGTAGGTAGGAGATAAAGGATCTACCGCTTTTGTCATGGATATGTGTAGAACCGATCGTTTTTATCACAAAAGTGCAGACAGTGGAAAATAGGAACATCGTGTGTAAAAAACCTCAGGTTCTTCACTAAAAACGAAGTAGCCAAAAGAAAAAGACCAATTAAACGGCAATTAGAAAGGAGATCACAAAATTAAAACGAAAAGAGCGTCTTGTATAAAACCCTGCAGAAATTATTTTGTTTATTAAAATGATGATTAAAATGTTTTATGCAACCAGGAAAATGGACCAGATGGGCGGGAATATGACTCCGAAGTCAGAGTCAGAAATGAGTTCAATAAACAATTTTTCAAATAATAATAATAATAATATTAATAATAATAATAATAATAATAATAATAATAATAATAATAATAGCGGTTTCAGCATTTCTTAGGCCTTAAGCCTGTTGCCGTCTCTTAACATCGCAGAACTTTCACAGCTTGTTGGGCCTCGAACTCGCAACTCACTGTTCCACTTCTGATTTACCGCCCGGCCTCCTTGCCGATCCTGACCCTGAAACTATACTTTCAAAACTCGCTAAGTGAACGTAAGTACTTACGCTCTATTTTCTTGTCTACGATTGGTGGATTTGGCTTGAAAGGCCGTCAATGATTGGCGGATGAATTAACTTTTTTTTAACTGGCTTAACTTTTTTTGAAAGTATAGGCCCAGAACTTGGCGCACAGAGTTGGGATCGAACCCGCGCCGCGCTGCTCCAATCTGTTTACTCTGAACTGTAACCACTGGGCCACCCTGCTCTTTATAAATATAATTAAAGTGCAAGAAAAACCTATCTATTTGTTCGTATCTTAATGACTGCGTAGCTAAGTAGAAGTATGTATAAATTAATAGCGCTTAATGACTTTGAGATGATTATAGTAAATAAATACGAAAATTGTGTTCAGCTGGAAAAATATATACTTAATTAACGAATGTAGGAGTTTGTAATGGTAGGAAATCTTTCTGACGTATAGTGAGGGAATATGTAAGAAATTCCACTGATATCATCAACAAGGCAAGACCTATTTCTCTATTCGAAGTTCAAATCAACTCCATTAAATAAAGTTGGATGGATTATTAATTTTTGTTCACCACTAATAGATTTATGCATAACGCTTAATATAATGTTTCACCTCTCCAGACTAAAATATCACTATAAGGAAAACGTGGTTGGTGAACGTAAAATTTCGAAAGTACGATAGCTTTAATAGTAGTTAAAGCAAGTTCAGTCATTGTATCACTAATGAATTAGGAAAGGCGGAAAAAAATGACAAAAATTGCTGATGAAGTGAAATAATGTTAAAATCAAAAATTGTTTATGGGAAACTGAAGGTTTTACCGCAACGAATTCAATAGTGAAGATTCTCAATTTGAACTCATGTATTTATCTGTAAAAATTATGTAGACATCTTCAAAAGACTTAAAATTTTTCGACCTCTATTGTTTATTGTTTAATTGTTTATTATAGTCGAATTATCTTTATCACATTGATCGCTTCAGTTGTGCATGGACCTGTAGATATAAAAAGAATCCTTAAATACTTTACGAGACCTGGTTAGTTGAATGTCTACATTTTAGGCCTTAAGCTTAAAAAAAAATCATGTAAGTTTGCCGCCCGAATTAATATTCCCTCATGATTTCAAAAAATGTATTTAAGGAAACGAGAAAAATGAAAATTTTACCATATGTGTTGGTGGCAAGACGCGACTATAGAAAAGAAATCTTTGTAAAATATAGGAGACATAAGTCATTTTTTCTATCATGCGATGTAAGTACTCATGTTCTCAGTTTTAGTTGGTCACTATACTTACTTGCTAACGAACAACATTTTGGCGAACTTATATATACAATACTTGACAGGCTGCATAGCAAATTCGATTGATGTCGAAAAACTTTTCGACGCAATATTTGAAAATCAAATTGAAAATGGTTCAAAAAAGGCGATACCGAAATAATAAAGACCAACATTGAGTTCCATACAAAAAAAAATGACTATGAATCTGGCCCTTTTTACCTCAAAATTTATGGGGGGCGACCGCGCAAGTCCACCCAGCATCAGTTATCAGTGTTGGCAGCAGCGAATGCAGCAGCTGTCTGGGTAATTCAATTACCGACGCCACCAGAACGAAAATTCTCCTAATTTGAGCAGAAAAGAATATTCTCCTAATGAGCTTTGTTTATGTGATATAGACAGCAAAATTTACAATTCTCATAGCATCTTTTACAGGATGTAAAATATTTCTATTTTAATACAAAATAATAATGATTTCTAGTAGGTTTAATTCAATGAAAATAATTAAAAGAATAAAAAACGTTGAAAGTCGATAAAGAGAATATGTGCTTATGATTTTACTCAGTGATTATGATATACATGGACCATGCTATTTCGCAACTTTGGTAACAGGACCGAGCGCTACCAACGACTGAACGTTACCCCTGGATTTGTGAACCCCTTTCTCCCACATCCCGAAGCCCCAAAATCTCTATAATATTTTCAAACAAAAGCAGTGTTAATTGCAGAGAGCCAACAATAATCCAGCCAACATTTGAATATAATTTACACCTGCAGGTGGAAAAATCACTTTGAAAATTTTCATACGTCGCCCTTTTCACATTTTCAATGTTCAGGAATTCACGGTGAACAATGTAATTCACTGCGGAGCAATATTTTTAATTGAAATGTGCTTGGGATACTCGAACGGCGTCTATAAATTTACAGCGTCAGACGATCACAATCATATAATGCGATCAAATAATTGATATTCTAAATACATTTATTCTAATTTTAGTAGTGATAAAGTACTAATGAAATAATAATAACGAAGAATAATAAAATTCTCCAGAGATTTTGCTAAAGACCAATTAGAAAAGATTTAAATCAACACTTGTTTAGCATTGGCTTTCCGAAGATATTCACTACAATACATTCATACGAACGCATTAAAAATGAAATAATGTAAAGAAGTTTTTTTCTTAATAATATCTTATGCTATGTGAGATTTCATTATGGATTGAATAAATAAACTTTGGAAACCCATCACACGCAACACTGCATTAATGTTTCGTTTTCTACGTCACGCTTAATGAATGTTTGTCAGAACGACCCTTACGCACACCTTTGCTTCACTTCTGTCTAATGCTAAATCAGTCCTGTTTATTCATTAAATTAGATATATTGTTTTCAAAGAACGAATTTCTATTGTTTTCTCAATACCAGAGTATCAATAGAATAATATTGTTGACGATGCTGTTGTCGTCAATGCGATAGAGATGCCTAAAATTTTCAGTTTAGCTCCTCTCATAACTGTAGATATTAGAGGTGCCTAATTAAGGTTAGGATAGCGTGAGTACATCGGATTTTACGCTGGGGTAACTCAGCCAATTATAACCAGCAGCAATTATCAGTTTAGGAAGCTGCGTCTGCAGCACACGAAATATCAGGCAGGGCAAAAGCCAAGAGCTTTCATTTGTATTTCGGTCTTCTTCACTGCAGCCAAGGTAGAAAACCGACTGGAGTAAAAATTCATTTTATCATCCGTATGTGAATTTTCGAATATTTATAGCTATATATAACATAAAAATTGAGTTCCATGATTAGATAGTGAGATTTTTTGAGTTTCAACAAAAAGAGTTTGAAGAATATCGTTGAAAATTTCAGACCTTGATTATTTTTAAATATTTATGAAAATTGAGGCTCTGCTGTCATTACATTTTAATATATCTCCTTTCACAAAGGTTTTCGATGCGAATGCTATAAAATGAAATCCAGGTTAAGGTGAAACAATCTTAGCAAGTTCAAAAATAAGCCTTTTTATCTTGTCATTTATGCATATCGTTCTTTAAAGTTAAAGCTAAAATTATTTTAGAAAAGTATCAATTATACATTTGGAGGTTCGGTGCCTTCGTAACAAATATACTTAATTTACTAACTACTGGAGTAAGAGACATTAGAGTTTAAAGCAAAATAGCGCATAAGCGTCCTATTAATAAAATAGGAGAATGCAGTGCTTTCAATCATGTTTTTTCTTAACGTAAAATAGCGCTGTTGGAAGACAGAATTTTTTACAAATTCATTTGTATACTAAGTTATATCGGTAACTGTTTACTTGGACTTGTTTTTTTTTGGGGGGGGGGGCTTTCATAGGTCTATCAAATTAGAAAATATATTTATCTACCTGGAGCCAATTCAAAAATATTTTAAATTAAGATATGCCAAAAAAATTCAATTTTCTATGCCGGAACAGACATATCAATTAGGTGCAGTGCATATCGAGCGAAAAAGGTTATTTTGTTTGGTTAGGAATATTCATGTTGCAATAATCGCAATTTTTTCACTGAAATAATTTGTTTCCATTTTTTGACTCATGGGTCCAGAGCGGCATTTACGTCATCATAGCTTCTTACTGCCACGACCAGCCGTAAAAACGCACTGAACAACCTAAAAGTCGGTTGAATTGAACGAGTTCGTGAGGACCAACGTAGAATCAACGGCACCGCGATGAATGTAAGTTTTCAACGTTTGTTGATTTTCTGACATCAGCTGCAATTGCTGTTTTTTGGGTGCTGCAATTTTTGTCTGGTAGCACATTTTTTATTGATAACTGTGAAAACAATAATTTTAGAAATTGAAAGTAATTGAATTTTTTAGCAATTTAATCTTCTTGTTATTTATCTGTACCACCAGCGTTAACTATGGCTAAGTGATTCAGTCCACTGGCCTGGTATTGTATTTTTTGGGGGTCTTTTAACCAGCTTTGTGGATTATCTATAATCACTGGAAAATCATTTTCAGTGCTTGTTCGCCGCTCAAAAACTAAGATTCTTTAAATAGTAATTTTCATTTTTCGTTAAAAAATATATTTATTTGCCTAAAAGAGTCCATGGTTTACTTATCGTTTTCATTTCAGCTAAAGTTTTGTCGTTTCGACGGGTGGCCACAGCTCCTGATGGCGCTCCTGCTCTGCACGGCCGCAAGTGCTAATCCTACCGACAGCACCGGTGAGATTTTTATGTAATTGCAAGGACTTAGCATTAAATCCATCTCAAATCCCACCAAATTTTTCGAATTTAGGTAAACAGAGCTCGTGCTTTTCCCTCATTTACATACTACCAACACGAGATGCCACACAAAACCGTGTTCGTGATGCAGGTTTTGCTGCGATTTCCATTGCTGGGAATCGGTTCGCTTCCTCGAATGTTTTTACACATAAGAGAAGCTCTATATTTTCATCTCATTATTTTTTTTATCAATACGTTTGTACATTCATTGAAGATGAACGTGCCATGCAATCCACAATCACAAAATGAAAGAAATTCCGATTTTTTATCATATGAACCTGTTTCAGTAATCGCTTTGCTCTTCATTATAATCTCAACACTCGAAGACAACTTATAATCGTGATTTTTCAGTGTATTATTTTCAAATGTCCTATATGTAACGAAATTATATGAAAACTTCGGCATTATCTGTCGAAGTCGTTTACAATTAATTCATTAATACAAAAAATTAGTTTCAGTATCAATATTATGCCAAAATACCTGTCAGTATATTCTCAGGGAGTCGATAATGCTGTATTTTCTCATTTTTAGCTGACGATGTTGTTTCGTACCTGATAAAATGGGGGGAAAATTTATTATGTTTAATTAAACGTATTATTTAAAATTATTCAAATTTTTATAAGAAGGGCGGGCAGTGAAATCACGAGCCTAATTCATCACCGAGTTTCTGTGCACAGAGCCGTGCGATGAAGGCCAGTTCGAGTGCGCCAACGGCCGCTGCATTCCCATGGACTACAAGTGTGACGACGTCGACGACTGTCTCGATGGCAGCGATGAACTCGAGTGCATTCGACGTAAGTTTACTGCAACAATTCAGTGTCTTTGTGACTATACTTATTAGGAATTTATTTTACAACGTATTGAAAAGCACAAGAAGTAATTATTAACCCTGAATTTTACATAACTTAGCCAACGGTCCAATCCGATTTAAAGAAATGGTGAAAAAGCTTCATCATTTTAATTCTCCGTCCTATTCCGAAAAGATTTTTTCTAACGCGCGAAACAAAATATTTTGAATTCGTTCTTATCGACGTAATATCATTAGCAAATTATAATAATAGGCTTAGTCGTAAGATACTTTTCTTATCAATTTTTTCTGGCTCTGCCGTAGAGCACAACTTTTTCAACGTGGAACTATCGACATTAATTACTTTCATGAGTATGATTTTGATATGAACTTATCCGAAGTGTCTTTGTTAGCGTATACCCGATGCATTTATACTGCTAATCAACAAGCGCAACAATCGTATGATACATGCTTTTATACTGTCGATCAACAAGCGTATACACGATTCTTTTCTACTGCTGGTCAACAAGCGTATACACGATGCTTTTATACTGCTGATCAACAAGCGTATACACGATGCTTTTCTTCTGCTGATCAACAAGCGTATACACGATGCT